TTCTTGCCCCTGGACATCAGGGTCCTTGGTTCTCAGGCCTTCCCCAGTGGGGGCATGCAGGAGGCAGTCAATCGATGTTTCCCTCACTGTCCCTTCTTTTTTCTCTAAAATAATTAAAAACATTTCAAAATAATAATAAAAATAAAATAGCCTTGCCACCAGTAAACAGGTGAACTTTTGCCTGATGAATGAAAATGGTATCTCAGTGAGTTTTAAATTTATCTTTTATTATTTTCTATATCTATATACAGGATGGAGCAAAAGTAGGTTTACAGTTATTCCTATGAAAAATAATGAGATTAATAAATAAGGGAATAAACCTTTTCCCCATACTCACAACTATAAATCTACTTTTGCCCCTCACCCCATAATCTATAATATCTACTACATTTCTATTATTAGTTTATTGTGTTTAAGAGCCATTTATTTTTCCTTTCCTGTGAATTGTCTGGTTCTAACCTTTGCCTATTTTTCTAACAGCAGTTAATCTTTTCCACAGTAATTTTTCACTTGCCTTGGATGTGATTACATATATTTTTCTCAACTTGTTATTTGTTGAGTGTATAGCAGCATCATTGTTGTTTTAATATAACATATTTCTACTTTTCTGTAGTTACATTTATGAGTCTTTTATGACTTCTGGATTTTCAGTCAAAACCAGAAAGGTCTTCTCCATTCCAAGATTATAAGGAATTCATCCATGCTTTCTTCTTGTTCTTCTTTTTTATTTTTTTTCCTCACCTGAGGATACTTTTTTATTTATCATCAGATAGAGTGGGAGGCAGGGAGAGAGAGAGACACAGAGAGAAACATCTATGTGATAGAGCCACATAGACTGATCGCCTGCCCCAAGACCCAACCAGGACTGGGGACGAACTGCAACCCAGGTATGTGCCCTTGGCTGGAATTGAACCTGAGACTCATTGGTCCGCAGGCCAATGCTCTAACCGCTGAGCTAAACTGGCCAGGGCATCCATCCATGCTTTCTTCTATTTTTCTAGTACTTTTATGGTGTCATTTCAAAACATACAAATCTTTGAATCACTTTGAACTTACTTGGTGTAATATGTGATTTATAAATTTGCCTTTAAAATTTTTTGAGACCCAATTATCCCAACCCTTTTATTATTTATTTTTAAGCACATAATTGAAAACATATTCTAGAAAAATTGCCAACATGCACAACAGTGCCTCTTTCACCTATCACAGAGGTGGGTACACTGAGGCCTGGGACACTTGTCAACTTGCCCAAGGCTGTCCAGCTGTAAGTGGTTTGCAGATCTCCTGAGAATCTGCCTGTGTGCCTCCTTTCCCCTGAGCGGCCCCAATGGTCCCTGTGGTTTGGGAATCCCTCACCTCTTGCAGCCAGACTTCTTTCAGGGCTAGTAATCCGATGCATTGGCTTGCACTGAGGCAGTTCCACGCCTTGAGATGTACACATTGGGTTTCTAAGCCCTATGGACACAGTTCTCCTGGTTTAGCCACAGATGGTGAGAAGTCCCAGAACACAGACTCTGTCAGGGAGGATTCAACCTCAGGATAAAAGGAGAGGAGGTGGTGAGCTTGCCGATCCAGCCCTCTCTGAGTATTGCTGGAGTTGCCAGGTGCTACTTTAATTTTATTTCTGCATATGTTTGGGTCTATTTCTGTGCTTTGTTTCATCGGTTTGTTTGCCGTTTTGTGCTGTAGTACCAAACTGTTTTAACTACTGAGGATCTATAATATGGTTTACTATCTAAGAGTGCTAGTTCCTCCCTCCTCGTTCTTCTTTTTCAGAGCTTGTTTCCTGGCTAGTGTTTTTAGTTCTCCGTTTAAATTTTTGGAACAAACAGGGTGGTTTAAAAAACACACATAACCTATTAATCCTATTAGTACTTTTATATGAATCACGTTGTTGTTGTTTATTATTATTATTATTTTTAATCCTCATCCGAGGACACCCTTCCATTTTTTGTACAGACAGAGTGGGAGGGAGAGAGTGGAAGAGAGAGAGAGGGAAACATCGATGTGAAAGGGACACATCGAGTGGCTGCCACCCGCACGACCAACCAGGGCCGGGGACAAACTGCAACCGAGGTACATGCCCTTAGCGGGAACTGAACCCGGGTCTCTCCGGACCGCAGGCGGACGCTCTAACCGCTGAGCCAAACCGGCCAGGGCTGAGTTACGTTGTTTATAATTTTACTTAGAGAACTGAGATCTTTATGACATTGAGTCTTCCTATCCAAAAATATCATTCATCTTTTCCTTTGACTCAATTTTCTTATTTGTAAAATGGGAGTAATAATACCAATCTCGTAAATAAATGAGAAAATGCATGTGGAGGGCGAGACAATAGGTTCATCGCGGTGCTCACCGTTTCCTAGCCCATGCTTGGGCTGGTTACTTCGGCTCTCATTTGTAAAGCGGGGGTAGTAACGGTATCTGCTGCACAGGACTGCAATGAGGGCCAAATGACACGAGGCATGCCAAGAACTCAGTGCACTGCCTGGAACATAACTTCTCAAAGAATGTTAGTTGTTCTTCTACAACACAGGCTATCGCAGGGCAATGGGACTTAAAGCAAAACCTTTCAGAGATGCACCTTAGGTCGAGGGCTCTCAGGCCAATTCTTCTTTCCCAGAACCTACCTAACCTCCGGTCGCCCCTTCCAATGTCCCCCTTCCGCCGGGGACAGCGGTGGGAACTCGACGGCGACTTCGAGCCACCAGGTGCACCGCCAATCTCCAGGGTGCCCCCCCCACTCTCTGGGCGCCGCGCTGCCACGTCTCGCGCGCCCTGCAAGCCGTACGCGAGGGGGCGTGGCCAGGTCGGGCCCGCCCCCGAGCGCGCCTCGTCACGCCTGAGGCCCGCCCCTGAGCCGCCGGAGTCGCTAGTAGGGCGCCCCGCGGTTGCGGTGCTCCTTGACGCTACGAAGGGGCGGGACTAGCACGTGCCCGGAAGTCCCGGGGGAGGGGTGTTACGTATATCCGGCGAGTAGCTGGCGGTCCGGGTGCTACTGGGCTGTGTGCTCAGAAGAGGGTCGAAGCCACCCGCCGCCACCGCCGCCGCCGCCCGAGGAGTCGTTTGGGTCGTAAGTCGGGTGGCCGCGGCGAGGGAGGGAGCCGGGGCGGGACCGGCTGGGACGGACGACAGAGGAGTCGGGGTGGGGGCAGGCGCAGGCGGGGTGGGGGGGGAAGTGACACGCAGGCGGTTCTGTGGGGCCGCGGGACTGGTTCTGGGCGGGGAGGGACCGACTCGGCCGGGTCCGCTCCGTCCGTGCCTGTCTCTGGGGTATCGGGTCGATCTGCATTACGTTCGGGGGTCTTGCAGCTGCTGGGCGGGATAAGAGTTTTCTTGTCTGTACTGTGCGCTCTGGTTTCCGAAACGGTTTCTCGTCCCCTGTCGCAGAGGAGCCTTGCGTTCAGCCTCGGTGAGGCGACGAGAGACCTTGATTACCCTTGTTTTGCAGACCCGGGGACTAAGGCTCGCCAAGGCACAGTGCACTGGCCAAGGCCCCGGAGATAGCAAGTGTGAGCACGGGAACCAGTTCTCCTGCCTCCTAGTCCCCGTCTCCCCACCCCCAACCCCCACACTTCAGCTGTTATCATCTGATGTCCTTGGTCGAACCTCCTAGTTTCTCCTTCCATCTCCCTCTTTTATCTCCCCTCTGCCTTCATGGCAACATTTCTTCATGTTTGGTGTAGGTTAATGTTTAGTTCACGATTCTAGACGAGCAGCCAGGCATTCTGGTGAGCGTCGACAGCACATTGTCTTGTTAGTATTCTGTCTTGCTCCAGTCTTTTCTCCTTTACCTGATCCATCTGCTTAGGTTGTGACAGGGGTTATGGAGCTTCGCAATGGGTCTGGCCTTTACGTCCTGCAGCTAAGCAGTTTCTTAGCGAGCAGCCAGCTGCTTGCTATGCCAGACCTGTCCGGAATGGTGTCTAAAAGTTGCTCTGAGTAGAAGCAATGAGTATGTACAGGAAGTGATGCATAGGCTTTTATTGGCTAATGGTTAGCCTAGTGCTTTTCCTTTTTATTTATTTGATCAGTCAGTCTTGAAATCAGTTTGGGGTTCTCAAGCAGTGCTTTGGTTGGTAGTTCGGAGCCCTTAAATTGTAGAATATTCTTAATTTGGTATAAGATATCATAGGTGATAGAGTGGATGAAGGATAGAAAATAAATAAAATGCTAGTTAACATACCATTCAAAAGGTGTGATACATTTGTAAGGAAGAAAACTTTATTATTTATTTTTTTAAATCCTCACCTGAGGACATTTTTTGATATTTTGTTCAGATAGAGTGGGAGGGAGAGAGAGAGAGAGAAACATTGACGTGAAAAGGACACGTCGAGTGGTCACCACCCACACGACCCAACCAGGGCAGGGGACAAACTGCAACTGAGGTACGTGCCCTTATTGGGAACCGAACCTGGGTCTCTCCAGACCGCAGGCTGATGCCCTAACTGCTGAGCCAAACCAGCCAGGGCAAGGAAGAAAACTTTAGAAGATTATCATGAGTGTAGTTGGTAGGTTAAGGAAGATTTAAAAAATAATAATAATTTTATTGATTTTCTTTTTAGAGAGAGGAAGGGAGAGAGAGAGAGATGAGATAGAAACATTGATGTGACAGAGACCCATCAGTCGGCTGCCTCCCACAACCTAGGCATGTGCCCCGACCAGGAACCGAACCAGGACCTCTCAGTCCATTGGGTGACAATCCACTGAGCCACACCGGCCGGGCGAGTTTGATGGTTTTTTATTTATTTATTTTTTATTTTTTTATCCTCACCCGAGGACATTTTCCCATTTTTTTGTTCAGGTAGAGTGGGAGGGAGAGAGAGGAACAGAGAGAGAGAGAGAAACCTCGATGTGAAAGGAACACATCGAGTGGCTGCCGCCTGCACTACCGACCAGGGCCGGGGACAAACTGCAACCGAGGTACGCGCCCTTAGCGGGAACCGAACCCGGGTCTCTCAGGACCGCAGGCCAATGCTCTAACCGCTGAGCCAAACTGGCCAGGGCACAAGTTTGATGGTTTTTTAAAAGCAGTTTTGTGATTTTAATTAGAATTTTAAGTGATATTAACAGGAAGAGCTGTGACTTTGGCCGTTAGAGGAAGGTTTACATTCTGGCGCTGTTACTTTTTTAGTTGAACAGTTAAGCCAGCTAACCTAGGAGTTTCAGCATCCTCGTTATGTTAAGAGAGGCCAAGGATCCATGCCCAGCAGGATTGGTGCGAGATTGAAATGAGATGTACATGCAAGCACTGCATAAACTGCAGAACTACTCACAAAGGGGCAACCCTGAGATCTCAAGGATGGAGGCGCCGTGAAATTAGGGTAGCAATGCAACACTCTGTGTCTGGTAAGCGTTTTTATTATTTTTTCAACGTCACCTGCAGAGTTTCTTCAAGCACTCTCCATAGATCATTCTGATGGGAAGAATTATAGGACCTTCTTTAAAGGTCCTATAATTCTTCCCATCAGAATGATAGGACCTTTAAAGAAGGTTTTGTCAAGGGAAAGTAAATTGGAAAATCAAAGTAGTTCATTTAAAATGAAAAATTCTAAGCCCTGGCCCAGTGGCTCAGTTGGTTGGAGTATTGTCCCATTCACTAAAATGAAAAATTTCTTAAAATGGGGTTTCCCCCTTCTCACCTTCTGAGAATTCATCTAGTTGGGAGTACTTCTAAAATGATGTGGTAAAACTGGACAAAGAGTCTGTAAAGTACTGACTACAAACCATTGTAGTGCAAGTGAATGCGTGTGTCGGGTTTTAAAGGAGTGATCAGAGTGAAAGTGACCTAAATGAGAGGTGCTTTCTAAAGGAGACCTGCACTTCTCCAATTGGTAGACTGAGGAAAGTAGGGAAGGATGACTGGTTCGTGGGGATTGCAGAGGAGTGGTACACTGCTGTGTTACTTACCTACAGGGGAAAGCTAAGCATAGGAACTTTGTAAGTGTGTTAAGTCACTGGACTTCTTAAACTGCAGGACAGGTTTCCAGACAAACTGTTATTTCACATGCTAAATTTGTTCTTTCTGCCAAAATATATTTTGATGTTACTGAAAGGGAAAAAAACCTTATTTAGTATCTTCTTATAAAAGTTTTTGCCTTCAGTCTCCACCCTCACTCAAACTCCCACCCTTCATTTTGCCCTCCCTCGTAAGAGCCATAGAAAACAAGCATTAAGCAGACCGTAAAGTTTATAGGTGAGGCCACAGGCCTGATTTAAAAAAAACAACAACAAACAAACAGAAAAACCAGTAGTTGGATGAAAAAGAAAACCTGCATTGCTTCCATTTTCCAATTTGTTTATCTAGCATTCTTTGAATGAAGAATATAGATAGGTTTTTATGGATAACCCTTTTACAAGTTACTACTAAAAGTAATGCAACTGAACTTTTGTTTACTTTTTTTGGAAAAACAGAACTTCCTGAAAGTTTTATTTGAAAGCATTTGGTCACATCTAGTGTAAAGCCTTGTGTTCAGATGCTCTTGATGATGGACAGGAGTGAAAATGGGGGTCTTTCTGTTCACCAAATCTATAGTATTGAGGCAAAAGTTTAGTGTGACCAGGAAATGCTGTCTGAATTAGAAACCTTAACAACTACCATTGGCTCTAGATCCTCCTCACTCAACTTCATTCAGAGGTCCTCTTGCTTATTATCAATGTAGTAGACCTTTTTGTAGTTGTGGGTCATCTTTTGTTTTGTGTAGGCCAATGGGAAACGATAGAAAAAGTGATGTTAATATCAGTACTAATTAAGGTATGTACTTGGCTGGAAAGGTACCATAATGTCCTGAATGAGTATTCTTATTTTAAGAAATTTGTGTTTGTACAGTGGTTAGCTCTTAATTATTCACATTATGAAAGGATTCTCATCTTAGCTGCTTCATGACTCTCCAGAATAGTGGTACCACCTCTTTTATAAGTTGAGACACATATCTGCAAGAGGTGGCTAAATAAATATTGTTTAGTAAGAGACAGCAAAAAGACAATGAAAACACGATGGAAAAAAACCCCAAACAAACAAAAAGAAACGATAACATTGATAAATGCAGCAGGGGCAATTTGTGACTGTTTTTTTAGAACAGTTTATAAGGCTGGGTTAATAATATGCTTTTCGTTCTGGTTAATATGCCCTTCCCCCCATTATTTTCTACTTAATGAATTGATGTGAAATTTTTATACAGATCATTGATGGGACTGATTTCCTAGAGGTTTTGTTAACTGGTAGATAGCAGTGGTGTATTTAGTCAGCAACTTCCTGGAGGAGTGAGTAACAGTAAAAGGGGAAAGTGTATCTTACACTTTTAGTCCTCTGAGTATTGTAGGTTGAAAACTCTTAGAAAATCAGGAGTTTGTGCAGGTCTGAAGACCCCAGAGACTTCCCTCCAGGGTGCAAAATCCTTTGTTTTCTTGTGCCCCAAAACATGGGACTGTAAATATACATCAGGGCCAGGAAATAAGAGTTAACTTCTCCAGAACTATATAACATTCAGAAAGCTAATATTTGCTGCTTTTCTATTTTATACAGGTAGTAAACATTAATAATGTCTTTCATCTTTGAGTGGATCTACAATGGCTTCAGCAGTGTGCTCCAGTTCCTAGGTAAAGCCAATTTCCTTGAAATATATCACAGGTTTCAAATTTTCTGTATTTCCTCCAGTAATTTAAATACAAGTAGCCTTTGATATGTAAAGGGTAAAATTATGTTAACACATTTTTTCTCTTTTAGGACTCTACAAGAAGTCTGGGAAACTTGTATTTTTGGGTTTGGACAATGCAGGCAAAACTACTCTTCTACACATGCTCAAAGATGACAGATTGGGCCAACATGTTCCAACATTACATCCGAGTAGGTTTTAAAATACCAGGTGACCTTTTGATATTTAAAGGTCATTGTCAGAGTTGGAGGATGAATCCCCAATTGCTGTAGTTCTTTTCTTAACTGGGGTCCCAAAAGACAGCTCATTTGAAAAAGAATTCCCTATGGGACACACTCAGGTCACATACCCACAAATCTGAACCTCTGGAACTTGGTCACTCTCTGTTCTCACTAGTCCTGTAACTGGACATGCCTCTCATGTCTACTTCTAAGAAGCAGCAGACACATTGGAGAAAAAGAAACTTGGCTTTTAAAATAATTTTAAGAATTTTTTCACATTTGTATTGTTTTCTTTACAAGATGAAAGCTTTATTAAATTTTGCATTTGTATTGGCTTATAATACTCATAGCTGGGCCTTGTTTGTATGGAGAAGTTTATTTCTTTCTTCCATTTTGATAATTTTTCAGCATCAGAAGAGCTGACGATTGCCGGAATGACTTTTACAACTTTTGATCTTGGTGGGCATGAGCAAGGTAAGGACCGATTCAGTGGAAAGATGGTATTGACTCATGGTTCATTTTGTACTATTTTTTTAAAGCAGTTTGTCATTTTTACCTTTTATTTATTTATTTTTTTTATCCTCACCCGAGGACATTTCTCCATTTTTTGTACAGATAGAGTGGGAGGGAGAGAGAGGAAGAGAGAGAGAGGGAAACATCGATGTGAAAGGGACACACCAAGTGGCTGCCACCCGCACGACCCAACCAGGGCCGGGGACAAACTGCAACCGAGGTACGTGCCCTTAGCGGGAACCGAACCCGGGTCTCTCCGGACCGCAGGCGGACGCTCCAACCGCTGAGCCAAACCGGCCAGGGCCATTTTTACCTTTTAAATTGCTTGCATCTAGGATTGAGATCTTATTACTTTAATGAAGTTGGTTTATTCACTTATTTCCAAATTGTGAGAAGTTTCCTAAGTAACAGAGAACTCCACTTATGTCCAGATTTATTAGTTTCTCTCTGTGTATAATACATATTAATACTTATTTTTCCCAAACCATTTGTGAGTCCAGCTTTTATTCATTAATATTTAATGTATATTTTCTAAGAACAAGAATATTCCCTTATATGATCTTATTAATTATCAAGCCCAGGAAGTTTTATTTCTATCTACCATAGTGTATTTTCCTTTTATTTTTGGTCAATTGTCCCAGTAATCTCCTTATAGCATTTTTCCTTTTAAACATGCACCAATAGAGTATTACATTGTATTTAATCATGTCTTTTTTGTATTCTTTTTCCAATGGAGTGTAAGTATATAGGAAATTAAGTTATTATTTGTAAGTAATTTCAAGCTTGTCAAAAGTTGTAGAAATAATACAATGACTACTTGTGATCACTCTGATCTAAATTGATATTTTTGTATACTCTTCCCCATTTGGGTCAGTTTGTGGAACATTTTTTTCTACCTTCTTGTTCTCAGTACATTTTGTATTACTTGGGCTGTCTCTCTTTAGTTCCCAGATTCCTATCAGGTATCTTGTATGTATTTTAGAGATATATGGAAGGGAGCATCTTTATCTGATGCACACTCGCTTTACATTTGCCAAACCTCTAGGCTTATGAGTAAAATGTTTTAGATGTGGGAGTAAATATTCTGGGAAGGTAGGAAAAAGAACCTATTGAGATTCTTTTAGATTTACTCATTTGTTATTACATTGAGTTGAGAAGTTTCCTTTTGGAACATTAGGTTAGGTAGACTCTAATATAACTTTTTAAAAGTTTAGTTAAAAAATAAAAAATTGGCCCTGGCCGGTTTGGCTCAGCGGTTAGAGCGTCGGCCTGCGGTCTGGAGAGACCCGGGTTCGGTTCCCGCTAAGGGCACGTACTTCGGTTGCAGTTTGTCCCCGGCCCTGGTTGGTCGTGCGGGTGGCAGCCACTCGATGTGTCCCTTCACGTCGATGTTTCTCTCTCTCTCTCTCCCTTCCTCTCTCTCCCTCCCACTCTATCTGTACAAAAAATGGAAAAATATCCTCGGGTGAGGATAAAAAAAAATAATAATAATAAAATAAAATAAAATATATCATAAAAAAAAATAAAAAATAAAAAATTGGTAACTTAATTGTCCAGCCAAAAAATTTTAGCCAAGAGACTGGGAAGCGATCCAAATAATTTTATAGTCAGTGATTTTATTAGCGTATAATTACATTTATTTTATTTATTTAATATTTATCTGCTATAAAATCATATATGTAGTATGATCACAATCATATAAAATACCTGTACAGAAAAAACATTTAAAGAAAATATATAAACACAATAGTGTGTGTGTTTTGATGGAGGATTATAGATTATTATCTTGTTGTTTTTTATAATGAGCTTGTATTATTTTCCTTTGGGTAGGAAAGGGTACATATTGTCTTTTCTGCTTCTTTCAAAAAAATTTATAACTGCTTACCAATTGAAATTCTGAAGTAAAACAGTTATAAGCTGAGAATGCAGAGCTGTGGGTGTTTTTATTTATTTACTTTTTAAAATATGTTTTTATTGATATTTTAGAGAGAGAGAGGAAAGGAGAGAAAGATAGAAACATCAATGTGAGATAGAAACATTGATTGGCTGCCTCCTGTACATCCCCAAATGGGGATCGAGCCCACAACCCGGCCATGTACCCTGACTGGGAATCGAACTGGGACCTCTCAGTCCATGGGACGATGCTCTATCCACTGAGCCACACTGGCTGGACAAGTAGGTGATTTTAGACACCTGAACTGGGAATTGTGTATTATTTGGTGTGATAATTTAGCTTTTAGGTTTTGATAGAGTAAAAAGGGAAATGTGTTCATGAATATAGGTTTGTTTTTTTTGTTTTGTTTTGTTTTTTAATCCTCACCCGAGGACACTTTTGCATTTATCTTCAGACAGAGCGGGACGGAAAGAGGGAGAAAGAGAGAGAGAGAAACATCAATGTGAGAGAGACACATTGAGTGGCTGCCACCCACACAACCCCAACCCGGGCCGGGGACAAACTGCAACCGAGGTACATGTCCTTTGTGGGAACTGAACCCGGGAATCTCCGGTCCGTGGGCTGATGCTCTAACCATTGAGCAAAACTGGCCAGGGCAATATAGGTTTGTTTTGACTGAGGAAAACTTACTTAACAGAAACAGTTTTTCATAATAACCTAGCCACTATTATACAGAAGTTACTAAAGTACTGTACATTTGGAAGTTTCCTTTATATATATAACTTTATAAATCTAACTATTATAAAAGTAGTCTAGACTCAGTGTAATAAATTCAGTACACAATCAGTGTACAAATATGGAAGGTAAAAGTGAAAGTTTCCCTAACCTTTTCTTCCCAGTCCCACTCTTCAGATGTAACCACTATTAACTATTTGACGTAGAGATGCTTCTTTAATCATCCTATTGAAAGAACTAAAAATGAATGGCTTAGAAATGATAATACAGTTAAAGCACTGCTCTTAAACCATTGTCATTTCATGTCATAAACAAAAAAATAAGATCTATAGGGCACACTGAGTTGAATACCAGAGACCAAGGTGATTGGCCTGGGAACTTAAACCACCTGTCAGCCCAGTTTCCTTGAGGGCTGAGCTGATGAGTGTGTCAGTACACTTACACATCAGTTAGTTAGGAATTAACTTGACACTAAAGTTATATGGACAAGTAATTGGCATCATGATATTTTAACTCCGAGGTTGCAAACTAAAATGACTCCAGGGCAAGGAAGTGATTTAAGTGATGAAATTGACTGGGTGTAAGATTGTATGGAGTGGTGGAAACTTTGACAAATCAGACAGCCCAGACCTCATGCAAGGGGGCATGTGGGTAGGTAGGCATGGGATTGCCAGAGAAAATCTGGCAAAAACCCCTGGTTTGGACTATCAGTTTATACCTTCTGTTTTGACTTAATAACGGCTAGAAGTTGGAAAATCATATGGAGTTTAATACTATTGAAATCTGGCCAAGATAGGACCATTTCATAGACCATCAGGTTATTCATTTTCAAAACATATTTTTTTAATTGATGCAACTATAAACTTTGTCTTTTTAGCACGTCGGGTTTGGAAAAATTACCTCCCAGCAATTAATGGAATTGTCTTTCTGGTGGATTGTGCAGATCATCCTCGCCTCATGGAATCCAAAGTTGAGCTTAATGTATGTTTATATTTTTTTCCTTTCTTGACCTGTATTTCTTCTAAGGGATACAGCTCAATAGTGCGAATACTTATTCATTCCAGTTAACATTTGATAAAAGTCCTAGTTATGGGAAGAAAGTGTTTTAAAATCTACAACATTTCTTTTCTTTTTTTTTAAACTTATCTATATTGCTGAATGTATTACAGATGTCCCCCATTTTTGCCCCCATTGACCCCCTCCTCCCCATTCCCACTCCTCTCTTTCCCCACACTGTTGTCTGTGTCCATTGGTTATGCATATATGCATATAAGTTCTTTGGTTTATTCCCCCCCCCCTTTGAGGTTTGTCAGTCTAACAGCCAGTTTGTACTTCTTAACCCCTTCACCTTTTCCACCCATCTCCCCAAACTCCCTCCCATCTGGCAACCAACAAAAAGTTATTTGTACCTATGAGTCTGTTTCTGTTCTGCTTGTTCATTTAGTTTGTAGATTTAGTTGTTGACAGATATGTATTTATTGCCATTTTATTGTTTATATTTTTGATCTTCTGCTTCAAGAAGACCCTTCAACATTTCATGTAATACTGGTTTGCTGGTGATGAATTCCTTTAGCTTTTTCTTGTTTGGGAAACTCTGTATATGTTCATCGATTCTAAATTATAACTTTGCAGGATAGAATAATCTTGGTTGTAGGTCCTTGCTTTTCATCACTCTGAATATTTCTTGCCACTCCCTTCTGGCCTATAAAGTTTCTTTTGAGAAATCAGCTGACAGTCTTATGGGAACTCCCTGGTAGGTAACTAACTGCTTTTCTCTTGCTGCTTTTAAGATTCTCTTTTTAACCTTTTGCATTTTGATTATGATGTGTCTTGGTTTGGGCCTCTTTGGGCTCATCTTGTCTGGGACTCTGTGCTTCCTGGACTTGTATACGTCTGTTTCTTTCACCAAGGTAGGGAAGTTTTCTGTCATTTTTTAAAATACGTTTTAAATTTCTTGTTCTTTATCTTCTTCTGGCACCCCATGATGTGAATATTGGCACACTTGAAGTTGTCCTAGAGTCTCCTTATGCTATCCTCATTTTGTCGGATTCTTTTCTCTTTTTGCTGTTCTGATTGGGTATGTTTTGCTTCCTTATCTTCCAAATCAATGGTATGCTTCTTGGCTTCACCAATTCTACTATTGAATCTCTAAATAATTCTTTATTTCAGTTAGTGCCTTCTTCATTTCTGACTGGTCCTTTTTTATATTTTAATGTTCTCACTAAATTCCTTCGAGTTCTCACTAAGTTCCTTGAGCATCCTTATAACCAGTGTTCTTAACTCTGCATCTGATTGATTGATTATCTTCATTTTGTTTAGTTCTTTTCTTGGAGTCTTCTTCTGTTCTTTCATTTGGGACATCTTTCTTTGTCTCATTTTTTTTTTTTTTTAATCCTCACCCGAGGACACTTCTTTTTCCATTGTTTGTTCAGATAGAGTGGGAGGAAGAGAGAGAGAGAGAGGAACATCTATGTGAAAGGGACAAATCGAGTGGCTGCCACCCATGCAACCCAACCAGGGCCGGGGACAAACTGCAACCGAGGTACATGCCTTTAGCAGGAGCCAAACCCGGGTCTCTCTGGACCACAGGCCGACGCTCCAACCGCCGAGTTAAACTGGTCAGGACTGTCTCCTCATTTTTGACTGCTTCTCTGTGTTTGTTTCTATGTATTAGGAAGAGTTGCTATGTCTCCTAGGCTTCCTAGAGTATCCTATTATAGTAGGTGTCCTGTAGGGTCCAGTGACATAGCCTCCCTGATTACCCAGCTGGGGCCTTGAGGTGCACCCCTAGTGTGGACTGTACACCCTTCTGTTGTAATTGAGTCTTGATTTCTGTTGGCACATCAATGGAAGGGATTTACTCAGGCTGATCAGCTGTAGGGACTGGCTGTGCCCACTGACCACTGACCTCTGACTACCTTGGAGGATCAGCTGTGCAGGGGCCCACCACACAGAGCAAGACTTACTTCAGCAGGGCTCTGGTACCCACTGAGTCTACTCCTTGAGTGTGTCACTTGTGGTGGTGCTTCGATTGGTCTGAAGCTGTCCACTGGGAGTGCTGGCTCTGGGGCAAGGTCAGCTACTGCCTGTGTTCTACCCAGGGCTACCTGGCATAAGCTACAAAGTGATCTTCAGGTGGCTGCTGCTTGTGCTGGGCTTGGAGGTGCCCAGGCAAAGCCAGGTTGTGAACCAAGGCTGGCTGCTTCTGGTGCCAGGCCTGGGGCCACTTAACGAGAGAGATGGGGCTCCCTGAGACCAGATGCTGCTTGTTTGAGAGAATTCAGGAAAATCTGAAGCAGAAAGCAAGACAGGTCAATCCTATGGTAAAGGCACGGGAACCAGCTTGGGTGGGCCCAAAAGTTGCGTGGGGCAGGGCCTCAGGGAATTGTGGGGGGGGGGGTGGGTAGAGCAGTGTGAGCCAGGTTGCTGGAGTCCCAGATAATGGCGGCCATTTGCTGCCCTGGGGAAGGGCTCACCAAAGGAGTAACAGCCTCCAACAGCAAGTCCGTCCAGGAGAAAGCTGCCCTCCAGCTCTCGCTTCAATGCCAAACAACTCAGTTCTTCCCTGTCTCGATGTGGCTTCTTCTTTAATTTGGTAGTTGTAGGACGTTCATTCAGTTTGATTTCAGGCAGTTCTGAATGATGGTTGCTCTGTACTTGTAATTTTGATGTGATTGTGGGAGGAGGTGAGTACTGTGGTTACCTACATTGACATCTTGACCAGAAGTTACAGCATTGCTTTTTAATGCTATAACTCAGCTTACCCGGCCGATGTGGCACAGTGGTTGAGCATCAACCCATGCACCAAGAGGTCACCGGTTCGATTTCTGGTCAGGGCACATACCCAACTTCCAGGCCTGATCCCCAGTGGGGGGCATGCAAGAGGCGGCCAATTGATGTTCTCTCTCATTAATATTTCTATCTCTCCCTCTCCCTTCCTCTCTCTCTAAAATCAATAAAGGAAAAAAAAAAAAAACTCAGCTTGAACTTGAATAAATTAACTTTGTTTATATCTATCATAGGACGACTCTATGTCCAGTTTGCTCAGAACACTCCCCAGTTTATGCCTGTTGTCTCAACATAATTAATGTCTTTGTCTTTTAAATATCACATATGGTCACTCTTTATGATGTGTTGGTGTAGTGAAACCTTAAAAGAGATTAGAGTTCTTGACATTTTTAATCTGCCTTCTCAGTTTGTGCCTGTCCACTCTTGCACTGATGATTTGCCAGACCTTAAGAGTCTGGTCTTAGTCTTCACTTTTGGGGTTGCATACTATCAAGGACTGGCTCACTTTAGGTTTTCTCCTTTTTCAACATTGCATTTCCTTGGCTTGACAATTTCTACAATGTTGCCTTTGTTATCTTTACTGCTTTGCCCTGTGCCTCGTCTTTCTCTGATTTATAACTGTCTCTTTGCATTCTTATTCCTGGCAATTTGAACACATCTCAAGTTTATTTGTAAGTATATTTCTCGAATTATACTTTTGTCTTATGTAGAGTCGCCTGTAGGGCAGTCCTTCCCTTTCTTGACCCCTTGGGTATGGCAAGTCTTTCTTTTCTAAACTCCTCTTTACATTCTTGGTTTTGGTGTTCTCTCTCTGGCTGATACTTCTCAGACTCTTCCTGTTCCTCTGCTTAGCCCTTCAATCTTGTTTTTTCCTCAGGGTCTATAGTTTCTCCTAGGCTGGTCCACGCTACTCCCATTCCTTCATCTGCCACCTACAAGTCAGTGACTCCCAAGTGGATTTCCCTTATCTATACCTCTCTTGAGCTCCAGCCTTATACATAATGCTGCCTACTAGACAGTTCCACCTACTGGTTCTGTTCTCCTGAAGTGGAACTGTTGATCTTCCCCACCATCTACCTGGACATGCAGTCCAGAACCCTTTGGATTACTGTCGATTCCACCACTACCTTGCAACACACTAATAATGTGAGAACTTACTCAGGCTTGTCATTGCCTTACTTAATATCCACTAACAGATCTCTGTCATCTTCAGGATAAAATCCACAAATCTGCCCTGCCTGGTTTGGCTCGATGGTTAGAGTGTCAGCCCATGGACTGAAGGGTCTTGGGTTCAGTTTTTGTCAAGGGCACGTACCTGGGTTACAGGTTCAATCCCTGGCCCTGGTCAGGGTCGTGCAGGAGGCAGCTGGTCGATGTGTCTCTCTCAGATCAATATTTCTGTCTCTCTCCTTCCCTTCCTTCTACTCTCTGTAAAATCAGTGGAAAAATAACCTCAGGTGAGGATTGTCAATAACAAAAAAGTCCACAAATCTGCATAGCACATAAACTCTTTCAAGAGTACCTCTTTTTATTTCTCCAGCTTCTTTTCTGTTGCTTACCTCGAACTACATTTCAAACATAGAGAACAATTTACCCTTCCTTGAGTATGCAGATGTGGCTATCCTTGCCTGGACTTTTCTTCTGACCTCCAACCGCTTTTGCTGATAAATTTCAAAATGTCCTTTAAGAGAACTCAGAGTTCGAGCATGAACACTTCTAGGAATCCTTCTCAGGTTGTTAGACTCTCCACCTCATCAGTGTCTGTTGTCTTTACTGGTTTGTTTTTATAGGTCTCTCCCACCAGACTGTAAACTTAAATAGGAGGGACCTTGTCTTCCTTCTTTGCGAAAACCCTACACCTAGCAAAACATTGGACACAGAGGCACTTTGTTAGTATGAATGAATGACTTCCTTACTCTGATTTTGTCATTTCTTGGAACTTAAGATGGTCAAAACCTGTTCCCCTTTGTCCATTCAATTTTAGTCTCCTTTCCTAGCTTTTCCTGTCCGTGAGAACTAGCTTCCCAGTGCAATATTCGGTCATTCAGATGATCAAAATATATTTCATATCTATATATGTATTTGGTCTTCATGCACAGTTCCTGGAATATCCTAAGTGAGGGGAGCCACATAGGTGTCTTTTGTTACGTTAATGAGGTAGCTTTTAGACCTCATCTAAGGACAGGAGGTAGTTGCCAGGAGACCCAGCCACTTAGAGGTTGAACTTTCAGCCCCATATCCTGGCCCCCAGGGAGGAGAAAGGGGCTGGAAGTTGAATCAGTTGCCAGTGGCCAAGGATTACCTCAATTAGGACTATGTAATAAAGCCTCTCTAAAAAACCAGTGACAGCATTTAGAGAGCTTCGGGATTGGTGAACACATGGAGATTTGGGGAGAGTGATGCACCTGGAGAGGGCGTGGACGCTCCATGCCCTTTCCCCATACGTTGCCCTATGCATCTCTTCCATCTATCTGTTGCCTGAGTTATATTCTTTTATAGTAAACCAATAATCTAGTAAGTAAAATGGTTCTGAGTTCTGTGAGTCATTCTGACAAATTAAACCCCATGGAGGGGGTTATGAGAACCGCTGACTTATACCCTGTTGCTCAGAAGTACAGGTGATAACCTGGACTTGCTACTGGAGTCTGAAGAGGAGCAGGAGTCTTGTAGGACGGAAGCCTTAACCTGTGGAATCGGGTGTTTATCTACAGGTAGATAATGTCAGAATTGAGTTGAATTACAGGACACTCATCTGGCGTCCTGTGAATTGCTTGTTAGCTGGGTACCTCCCCACATTGGAATTGGTACCAGAACCAATTCACCCCGGCTTGAAATCTCTGCCAGCTTTGACTCCTCTTTTGTCTGTTTTATAATTTAAACTTTAGTCTCTTTACTCCAAAATGCCTGCTGAACTATTCATGATAAGCTCCTGTCTTATGGTAGGTCACCGTTTGTTACTTGAGCACTACAGATAGATATTGTGAATTCATTGTACTGAGATTATGTAGATTCTCTTCGGTAACTTCTGGATTTGGGGTCTTTAGGGTCTGTTGCAGCTAACCTCTCAGGCTTTTGTAATGTTGGTCATCCCTTGCCATCCCATTTACTCTGTCATTGCATGTCATCATAAATGTGTTAGTCCAGCCAGATGATACTCCATGCAGCTTCCTGAATTCTTTTCCTACTGTTAAGCCATTGCTTATATTCTTCTTCTTTTCCACCTATCCAAATCCCTCCTTCAGAGCCTAGTTTAGGTTCTATAACTTTGCTAAGACTTTTCCTCAAGCCCACAGTGGCATTTGATTTCCCTAATTGCCTTTTAGTATTTATATTCTGTCCCCCATTCAGTGTGACACTTAATCATGCACTTATCTTACTTTGCTGACATATGTATGAACATAGAGTGAGGATTTCTTGGGGCTAGGGATGTGTCTTACCCTTCCTTTCGTATCCCTGTCAGTGCCTGAGATAACATTTGGTACACATTGGGCACTCGGTGCATACTCGGAGACTTCCAGAGTCATTTTCAAGGCTCTGTAGCCAGAGCACTCATGCTTCTAGGGTTGTGCTCAGTGGGTAGCCCAAGGACGGGCTGTGAGTGAGTGACTCAGCTCGGAGTTAAGGTTGGGGCAGTTCTACTTGTAAATAGACACAGCCTTAAGTTGCCATTGTTTTGAAGCCATTGGGGGATTTTTGCCTAATGTGAGAGTATTTTAAGGGGATTTTTACCTAATATTAAGAGTGTTATATATAATGTCCAGAGTAAACTTTGAGTTAATCACTCAGGTATAAAGATGATTAGATTTTCACTTTGTATTTGATCCCTTAGAGACAAGTGAAAGTCAAGGAGATTTTCATTATCTGATGGGCTTTTATAGATGCCTCACTTACTCTTTTTATATCTTGTCTTCAGGCTTTAATGACTGATGAAACAATATCCAATGTGCCAATCCTTATCTTGGGTAACAAAATTGACAGAGCAGATGCAATCAGTGAAGAAAAACTCCGTGAGATATTTGGGCTTTATGGACAGACCACAGGGAAGGTAAGAGAAAAATTATCAGAGGATATATTATAAAGGAAATTCACAGTTTTTAAAACATTCATGTTTTGCTCTCTAGATTTTACTTGTTTTTCTAAAGTTTAACTGGGCTTAGGATTTGTTTCATTACAGGTAATTTGTAGACTCTCTGAAGGCCAGAACATGTTCTTTCTTTCACTGTTTTCTGATGTGTATGATACGTGAGGATGAAGGGAATGGTACAAAAGGCAAACATCATTTTAAGAATTTTTTTACTATCTTTCAAATTCAACTGTGAGAAATCTCTCTCCCTTTTTTTTTAATCCTCACCTGAGGATAGTTTTCTATTTATCTTCAGATAGAGTGGGAGGGAGGGAGAGAGAGAGAGAGAGAGAGAAACATCGATGTGAGAGGGACATATCGACTGGTTGCTTCCCACATGACCCCAACCAGGGCCGGGGCCGAACTGCAACCAAGGTGTATGCCCTTGACCAGAATCAAACCTGCAGCTCATTGGTCCACAGTCTGACGCTCTAACCGCGGAGCCAAACCAGCCAGGGCTGAGAAATCTCTTTTGAAAGAACTTTCTTTAGGCAGAAATCAATTTTTTTGACTGGAGATTTCAGGTTATAAAGCAGAGTGGTTATATATATATATATATATATATATATATATATATATATATATATATATATATACATACATTACTTTCCAAGCATTGAAATCAAAGCACTGGATAATTCAGTGCTCCTTGCTGAGGAATCTTGGACTGTTATCCCCATTTTGAAGATGGGGAAACTCTGATAGTGATTTGTTCAGGTCTGCATAGCAAGTCAGTACTAAAACCAGGAGTAGAATCCAAGTCTTCTAGGTCAATAGGTTATGTTTTCTCCAGTTTAAAGGGAAAAGCGTGCTTGAGAGAGAAAATTGAAATCAACTATAATTAAGCAGGAATCTTGTTTTTTTTCCAGCTTGGGGTTTTGGCATATTTAATTAAAAATTCTTTCCCTTTCTGGGATCTATAATAACTTTTTTACATGGTACCTTAGTCTTGCCTCTTGGTTATGTATTTATCTCCAGTAATGTTTCTTTAATTTGTTTAGTTTCCCCTCTCCTTGAGTGTTACACATGCATGAATTCTTAATTTCTTCAGTGTAACCTGTTATTGGTGTATATTTCTGAATGTTTGCATTAATGAGAATATCTTTATTTCTAAAAAGTTCCAGACTTCTTTTGTCCATCAGAGAGCATGCTGACACCCAGCCGGTGTGGCTCAGTTGATTGAGTGCTGTCCCATGCACCAAGAGATCGCTGGTTCGATTCCTGGTCAGGGCACATGCCAGTAGGGGGTGTGCAGGAGGCAGCCAGTGATGTTTTTTTCCTCATCAGTGTTTCTCTCTCCTTCCTTCTCTCTCTAAAATTAATAAAAACATATTTAGAAAATAAAAATAAGAGCATGCTGGTTCTGTGGATCCCAGTGGCCTTTGTCTTGGTTTGCTGCCATAACTGGCCGGTGAATGTTGATGTGTTCAAAGCAAATGCTCTTCACAGAGAGAGGCTGGGAATAAGCCTGTGCTGCTTACTCTATCCCGGAAGTATGAAGCCTTGGGGAAGATTTGCTGGCCTTGACCACATTTTTATAATTAATTCCTCCTTAGATTTGCTTTTGAGGAATGGAGAAAGTGGTTTTTGTGAACACTCGTTCAAACCTTTCCGCCGAGGAGGAGCTAACAGCCTTTCCTGATTGTCTCCCCAGGGGAATGTGACTCTGAAGGAGCTGAACGCCCGCCCCATGGAAGTGTTCATGTGCAGCGTGCTCAAGAGGCAAGGCTATGGCGAGGGCTTCCGCTGGCTCTCCCAGTATATTGACTGATGTTCGGACAGTGAAAATAAAAGAGTTTTACTTCTCTGGACTGATCCTATTCACAGCTTCCTCATGAACTTTTCTAATAGAACAAGGAAAGCTCTCCACAACCATGTCTGGCGTTGAGAAGCCAAGAGTCTCTGTCAGCTCTCCTCGCCCAGTGGTGACATGTGCTCTTCTCCACACTGTCGGGAGGTAACACTGCCCCATGTGCTGGTGCAGGTCAGCATCCCAGGACTTGGAAGCTGGCAGGATTTGCCGGGTAAAGCTGTGTGCCATCATGGGGCACCTGAACAGAAAAACACGTCTCACCACTGTGGTTGATTTAAAAAAAAAAGTGATTCTATTTTTTAAAGAAAGGGTTGTTTATGTAATTGGTTTCCCTTCTAACTTTTTGAGTTTACAATTTACTTGGTCCAGAGTTTTCTATTCCTTTTTTTTTTTTTTTTTTTTTAATCTAGTGAATGGCATTTAGATACTTCACAAAATTATGCACAGATACATGTTGGAGGCCAGAGCTCAGTCAAATGAACTTAGTCCTGTTGAGTTAGCAGGTTGGTGAGAGAAGCCCCCTTGTCTAACCGCCTTGTAGTGGTGGCATCACCTGTGCCCAGAGAACTCGGAAAGGGCAGAACCTGGCCTCACAGTTGCAGCAGGTTTCCACTGTGGCAAGCTAGGGCTGTTCCTCATCCCGGAGGGACAGCAGGCTGTCCACTGCAGAGGAGTTCATTATAGAGTGGGTCATTGTAGTATTATTATTGCTTATAAAGTTACAGATTTCAGCCTTTGCTTTGAACTGTTGTGGAGCTTCATTTGTCTTTGTAGCACCTTTTTCATTTTCAGTTATAAAAAGTGACTTTTGCCTCATAAGAGTTAAGAACATTTCTCATGTTGTCATAGACTGCAGGCGTGTCAGTTACCTTTGCACAGATTTTAGGGGGCATTTTTCTGCATAGGAGCATCACACAGGACAAAGTTAACAGCTCAAGGGCTCTTAGTTCTGTGATTGGGGAACTTAAAAATCTGGTATTGTAGTATTTGGTTGAATTTGGAAACGGTTTACTCAGTGTACTTGAAATTTTCTACTTGTAGAATTTGGTTTCTCTGACTGGACTGTTAATGAGGTTTTTATTTTATCAGTTACCAATTTTTTTGGTGTTTGAAGGTTAACATCTGTATCTTTTCCAGAATTTTTTTTTGGTATGAAATTGCCTTTCTCCATTCCACAAATAAGCTGGGGAAACTAATCCAAGAACTTTGTGTAGAGCTGTCCATTTCGAGCCTGTGTCACTTTGTCATTAAGCACTCAGTACAAAAGCTGCCACAGCCCCAGCAGTGTGATGAGGATTATTTTTATAGCTTTCCATTTTCTTAATGTCATCTGTGAAATTGGATTTTTATGATCCTAACCAATTGTCTACCCTTGCAGTAAAAGATGATGGGATAGGAGGTGGTGTTAAGATGAGAGAATATCTTCATTTTTCTTCTAATGAAAAATTAGAGGTAGTTTCCTCCAAGTTGAAAATTGTGATGATGCTGATATGCAGAGGATTGAATTCAGTGGATTCTTCTAATGTGAGGGTAAGGAACTGTGGGTAACCTATTTTTGGGGTGAGAGCATTGATCTTTAGTTGGATTTCCCATTGTTAATAATGTCCTCCGTACTATTAGGAAAGCATACTTTCACTGCCAGGTACCAAATGCAGAGGCCCAGTGGAGTATAAGTCTGGGATGAGCATGATTTTGGTTTATGAGCAAGCATAGCTGGATTAAGACGGTTGTTGGTTTGGAAAGGGGTTAAAGCCTTAAAAGTGAACAAACCTAGTGAATGGTGAATGAGTTAACTTGTATACTTTTAATTTACTTTGGCTACAGGTAATCCATACTTCTCTATCCAGAGACATGAGAAGTATGATTGCTTCAGTGTTAGTTTTCTTGTTTTCCTTTTTCCCTAATCACTTTGTAGCAGGCTAGAAAACTATGGATTCTACGCAGAACAGCTCTTTGTGAAAGTGGTTTATTTTGGCCACTGGAGAAAGGGGATTAAAAAGTCAAGAGGTACCAGTCGTTTCTTGCCCCACATAAAACACTGTTCCTGTAATAATAGAGGAAAGAATCAGCTGTGAGGAGCTTGGCTCCTGACAGCTGGATCAGAGCTTAGTTCAGGAACTCCCACGAATGGAGACTTCTCATTCTGTTTTATCAGAGTGCATATATGTCCTGTTTCAGGGAAAGTGAAACAGTCATTTACAAAAGAAAGTCAATCTGTATCCTAAACATTTTAATAAAAAGTTAAAACAAACTTCTTGTCTCGCTTTTACTTTCTTTTATTTTTGCATTGGTTCTGAGTTTGAACATATGACATTTGTTGTGCTGGGGAAAGCAAAAGTTCTTTCCTACTTTGGGGAAGAAATACATACAATTTTTCTACTAGGGGGAAAAACGCTAAGCCAATTACACATTCCACTAGAAATAATAAAGTTGGTACTGTTTGAGAGCCTTGGAGCATCCGGTGGTCCCAGGGTTGGTGGTCACCTCTGCAACAGGGTAGGGCAGACTTTTGAACAAAATCTTACATTAATGTGGTAGCAAGGACTGGATCCATCTTTAGCTGCTTCATCATTTTATACAAAATTGGAGAGATCCAGTTGAATGCTACATTTGGCAAAATAGAAGACATGAAACTTGTGCTGTGTGTTTACTAGGCTTACAGGAAGACTTGCTTTTAGAAAATCATAACAGATTCTAAAATTAAACTGAACACCCACTTGTGGCGGATAAAAACCAGGAGGATACCTTGGCTGTGAAGATCCTCCCTGAGGAGGGAGGGGCCCCCGTCCCACACCAGGCCACCCTCTTAGGGTTCCAGTGCCAGGAAGAGAAGTCCTCATAACTCCTGGCTGTAAAAACCAGAGGGAACTGAGGCTGCTGAAGCCCCAGGCAGCTCTTAAAAGGCCTGCTCAGGGACTTACTCTGACTTGCTGCCTCTGAGCTCCAGTGTGGGGCAGGCAGCTCGAAAGGCACCAGAGACATGTGGGGAAGAACTGAGTTGTTTGGCATTGGGGTGAGGGCTGGAGAGGCAGCTGTCTTCTGGACAGACATGCTGTCAGAGGTCTTTGTTCCTTTGATGAGCCCTTCCCCCAGGAGGCTGGCAGATGACCTGCAGTATCTGGGACTCCAGCAACCTGGCTCACACTGTCCCCCCCACCCCCACCCCCGCCTCTCCCTAGTGATTCCCTGAGCCCTGGCCCACCCAAGCTGTTCCCAGTGGCTTTAACATAGAATTGGCCTGTCTTGCATCCTGCTCCAGATTTTCCTGAATTCTCTCAAACAAGCAGCATCTGGTCTCAGCCTCATACCTCTTGTTAAGTGGCCCAGGCCTGGCACCAGAAGCAGCCAGTCTTGGTTCACAGCTTGGCTTTGCCTGGGCATCTCCAAGCCCAGCACAAGAAGAAGCCATCTGCAGATCACTTTATAGCTTATGCTTGGTGGCCCCAGGTAGAACACCTTGCTCCAGAGCCAGCACACCCAGTGGACAGCTTCAGACCACGTCGAAGCACCAACACCCAACCACCTCAAGTGACACACTCAAGGAATGGACTCAGTGGGTACCAGAGCCCTGCTGAAGTAAGTCTTGCTCTGTGTGGTGGGCCCCTGCACAGCTGATCCTTCAAAGTAGTCAGAGGTCAGTGGTCAGTGGGCACAGCCAGTCCCTACAGCTGATCAGCCTGAGTAAAACCCTCTCATTGATGTGCAACAGCGATGAAGACTCAATTATAACAGAAGGGTGTAAAGTCCATATGAGGGGTACACCTCAAGGGTCCAGCTGGGAGACCAAGGAGGCTGTGCCACTGGACCCTACAGGATACCTACTACAGTAGGCCACCCTAGGAAGCTCAGGAGACATAGCAACTCTACCTAATACATAGAAACAAACACAGGGAGGCAGCCAAAATGAGGAGACAAAGAAACATGTCTCAAATGAAAGAACAGAACAGAACTCTAGAAAAAGAACTAAACGAAATGGAGATAAGCAATCAATCAGATGCAGAGTTCAAAACACTGCTTATAAGGATGCCCAGTGAACTTAGTGAGAACTTCAATGAACTTAGTGAGGGCCTCAAGAGCATAAAAAAGGACCAGTCAGGAGGCACTGACTGAAATAAAGAATAATTAACAGAGATTCAATAGTAGAGTAGGTAAAGTCAAGAAGCAAACCATCGATTTGGAATATAAGGAAGCAAAAAACACCCAATGAGAACAGCAAAAAGAAAAAATAATCCAACAAAATGAGGATAGTGTAAGGAGCCTCTGGGACAACTTCAAGTGTACCAACATTCGCATCATGGGGCTGCCAGAAGGAGACGAGAGAGAACAAGAAATTGAAAATTTATTTGAAACAATAATGACAGAAAACTTCCCTAACTTGGTGAGGGAAACATACATACAAGTCCAGGAAGCACAGGGAGTCCCAAACAAGATGAACTCCAAGAGGCCCACACCAAGACACATCATAATCAAAATACAAAAGGTTAAAGAGAGAATCTTAAAAGCAGCCAGAGAAAAGCAGTTAGTTATCTACAAGGGAGCTTCCATAAGACTGTCAGCTGAATTCTCAAAAGAAACTTTGCAGGCCAGAAGGGAGTGGCAAGAAATATTCAAAGTGATGAAAAGCAAGAACCTACAAAGAAGATTACTCTATCCTGCAAAGCTATCATTTAGAATCGATGGACATATACAGTTTCCCAGACAAAAAAATAGCTAAAGGAGTTTATTGCCACCAAACCAATATTATATGAAATGTTGAAGGGTCTTCTTGAAGAAAAAGAAGATAAAAAATATGAACAAAGTGGCAATAAATACATACCTATGGACAATTGAATTTACAAACAAAATGAACAAGCAGAACAGAAACATTCTCATAGATACAGAGAACATTTTGTTGGTTGCCAGATGGGAGGGGGGTTGGGGGAATGGGTGAAAGATGAAGGGATTAATAAGTACAAATTGGTTGTTAGACTGACAAATCTCAAAGGGAAGGGGGGTGGGTGGGAAGAAATAAACCAAAGAACTTATATGCATTTATGCATAACCAATGGACACAGACAATAGTGTGGGGAAAGGCAGGAGGGGGGCGGGAGCAGGAAGGAGGGCGTCAGTAGGGGAAAAAGGAGGAATATCTGTAATACATTCAACAATAAAGATAAGTTAAAAAAATAATAAATAAAAAACAAAACTAAAGTACCGGGATGAAGAGAATGGGAAGCAAAATGCAACAGTTTCTTTTTGACTGAGTATTAAAATTATTGGAGGCATTCTGTGATTTAAACTAATGTCCATGTTACTATGACCAGAGACCATGGGTTCTATGTTCATATGCATTTGTGTTGTTTGAGTTGGAGTGGAACATGAGAATTAAAGGCTGAGTTAATCAGCCCAATACTCAAGGGGGTCTCATCTTGGCTATTGGCTGTGACTTGGGTCTCTATACTGTGATGTGCCATAAACATAAGAAAAACCTGACATATAACATGCTGGAGGCTTGGATGTCATTAAGGGAGAATCGCAACTCTAGAGAGAAAAAAACTCTTAATTGCTAGGAAGTTGGGATAGTTGAGTGATTTTACTGTGCTCAAGCCAGTGAGTCACAGAACCAAAAAACAAAATACAAACAAACAAACAAACAAAAAAACACCTAATGGTTGCTATGGGAAGACTGACTGCTAATTTCAGTCCTGCTTCATACTAAAATGGATCATCATTTCCCTTTTCAGATAGCTTTGCTACTGGGAACACTGTGAGCATTACCCTCTGTTGTGCTGGGGATAAACCAACCAAACAGCATTAATTTATTCAAGAATTCAAGGCAGCCCTGGCCAGTTTGGCTCAGCGGGCAAGGCATCAGCCTGAGGACCAATGAGTCGTGGGTTTGATTCCGGCCAAGGGCACATAGTACTTTGGCTGTGGTTTGTCCCTGGCCCTGGTCAGGTCCTCCCGGAGGCAACCAGTTGATGTGGCTCTATCACATTGATGTTTCTCTGTCTCTCCCTCCCTCCCATTCTATCTAATAATAAATGGAAAAGTATCCTTGGGTGAGGAATAAAAAAAAAAAAGAGATGAAAAAAAAAGTGTATTTAGTGATATAGATTAAAAATGTGTATTTTAGTGAAATGTCTAGCTTGTGGTGACTGCTTTGGGTATATCCTGAAATCCCCCAAAACATATTCATACTCTTATATCCTCAAGGACACTTCTTTGGAAAAGTAGGGGTATTTTATGTTTGCCTAGATCAAGGATGGCAAACTACAGCTCCTGGGCTAAATCTGGCGTGCTGCCTGTTTATGGTCTATGAGGGGGGAAAAAGGTTATTTTGTGACATGAAAATTATATGAAATTTAAATTTTAGTGTCCATAAAGTTTTGTTGGAACACAGCCACCCTATTGCGTTGGCTTTTGCATGCTACCACTGCAGAGTTGAGTATTTGAGACAATGTCTGGCCTGCAAAAACTGAACTACACTCTCACGCTTTGCACAAAAAGCGTTTGGCCCCAACCTAGACAAAACTTGGGGGGTTATTATGTGAAATGTGCATACTGCAAAATATAAACTTGTATAATTAAAAACTTAGACTTCAATCACTGTTCATAGTCCATACTATAAGGGCAATTTTATTTGTAGCAAATTCAGTTTTCACGGGATTTGTAGTGTTGGGTTTTGGCATCAAAAGCCGAGGTGTAATCTTGTGAGCTCCGTGCCCCTTAGTGGATTGCTGTAGGGTTTACTTAACAAAATTAAAAAATACTGAAATGGCCAAGGATTTCTTTGCCGTATTATCCCGTCAGAGGTCGAATGTCACCTTGACCTAGGCAGATGCTGACGAGTGCTGTCATGGCCTAGGTAAGTATTGCCACATCGGCGCTCATTTCTATTCCGTTTCCTGCAGCCAAACGAACAGAGACCAGACTAAGGTTCCGAAGGATCCGCCCACTGTCATTCCCTTCAGTCTTCCCGTAAAGCCTCACGCCTGTCACTCCCGGGGCTCATCCTCCCGGACTGCGGCGCCCTCTATGTTTCACCGGTGGCATGACCAACAGGGGAGGAGAAAGTAGGTGGGTCAGCCTCAGCAGCCAATCAGAGCTTGACCCCAGGCCCAACCAATCGCGCCGGGGGGCTTGGCCAATCGGGCCGGACCAGGAAGAACCGAGATTGCGCCTTTCGCTTCCAGCTCAGGGTGGCGCTGTGTGGAGTCCTCAGTGGCCAGTCCGGGTTCTCGCTAGTTCCCTGGCTCTCCGGGGGAGCTGGGCAGCACGATCCCGGAGACATGGGGCGACAGTGGGGGCCCGCCATGAGGGTAGCCGAGCAGGCGGGTTGCGTGGTGAGTGCCTCTCGGGCCGGGCAGCCCGAGGCGGGCTCGTGGAGCTGCAGCGGGGTGATCCTGAGCCGCAGCCAGGGCCTGGTGCTGTGCCACGGGGGCATCTTCACCCCCTTTCTGCGGGCCGGCAGCGGGGCGCTGACCGCAGCCGACGCGGCCTTCCTGCCTGGCGACAGTTGCGACGATGACCTGCGCCTGCACGTGCAGTGGAGCCCAACGGCCGCGAGTCCCGCAGGCCGCGCGGAGCGAGGCCGCCCCGGGTTGTGCACTCCCCAGTGCGCCGGCCTGGAGCCCAGCCCTCCGGCCCGGCACCGCGGGCGGCCCCTGCAGCCCCCGTACCCTGCCGAGCTGCTGCTGCTGCTGAGCTGCCCGGCCTTCCGGGCCCACTTCGCGCGCCTCTTCGGGAGAGAGCCGGCCGAGCAGTGGCGCTTCGCGAGCGCGGCGCCGGACGACGAAGTGTCGGAGGACGAGGAGGAGGATCAGCTGAGAGCGCTGGGCTGGTTCGCGCTGCTGCGTGTGAAGCACGATTCGGAGGAGGAGGCGGACGAGCGCGGGACGGCTGTGGCCGTGGCGCCGCTCGGGGCCGTGCCCAAGGGCGCGCCGCTGTTGGCCTGTGGCTCCCCGTTTGGGTCTTTCTGCCCGGACATCTTTCTCAATACGCTGAGCCGCGGCGTGCTCAGCAACGCGGCGGGCCCACTACTGCTCACCGATGCGCGCTGCCTGCCTGGCACCGAGGGCGGCGGCGTGTTCGCGGTGCGGCCCGCGGGGACACTGGTGGCGCTGGTGGCGGCGCCCCTCTGCTGGAAAGCCCGCGAGTGGGTGGGCCTCACGCTGCTCTGCGCTGCCGCACCTCTCCTCCGTGCTGCCGGAGCCGCACTTGGCCGCCTGTGTCCCGGTACCGGTTCCCTGGCCGCCCTCCTGCCGCCCGAGGTGGGCGCCCCGTGGGGCCTGCCCCTCCGAGACCCTGGGCCCCCGTGGGCAGCTGCGGCCGTGCTGGTAGAGTGTGGCACTGTCTGGGGCTCTGGAGTGGTCATGGCGCCCCGCCTTGTGGTGACCTGCCGGCATGTGGCCCCTCGAGAGATGGCCAAAGTCCTGGTGCGCCCCACCACCCCCAAGTAAGACCCTCAAGGGTGCTCTCACTCTACCCCCTCACCAGGTCTGAGGTCTGGATCTTATGCTCAGGTCTTAATCCTCAGGATTATGGAAGCATTTTGGCATCACGTTGATGATTTAGGACCCTCCTCTCATCCTTGGCACCCAGGACTCCTGGGTAGGGGAATCTGGGCCTCCTGGCAGGGGCTGAGTGGGGCTTGGGCAAGATGTCAAGCAACTCTGGATTTGGGAACTATGGGGCACACCTGCATCTTTGCCTGGGCATCTTTGACCTTCCTCTCCCAGTCTGATTTCATTCGGGGCAACTTGTCTGTGCTCGCACACCACTAGGCCCTCCTCTATTCCCTTGATAGGAGTAGTGAAGTCCTAGGGGCCAAAGATGCTGTTCTCCCAGAATAATGAGTGGGGCCTGTTCATCTTATGTATCTTGTAGATCTGAATCAGAGCTTCCCATCTTTATAGATGTGGAGTTCCACCTAATTAGAATGTGGGAGTGGGGCCCAGACAGGTAGATTTTGAACAATCTTTGGGTGATCCTGGTGGCCAGCCAGGTTGGGACTTCAGACAGTCATTTGTTCCCTCTGTGCAGGGAAAAGCACTCTCGTCCTCCTTCCACTTGCTCTGGCAGTGGGGACAGTGGCCTTGGCTTCCTGGCTAGATTTTCTAGTACATGTTCTATTCCTCTGTAGTTTCAGGTACTTAACTTAGGCCCAAACAAAGCAGGATAGCACCTTGGTGTTAATGCCAGATGTTCTCCTGCACCTGGCTCAATGCAGCCTGGCAGCCCAGGCCTTTCAAAATCCTTCTGCTGAATCTCTGAGGTTTATCCAGCCTAGCTTTGCCATAGAGGTACCCCCTGGTGACCAACAAGACAGCCATGACTGATGAGAATTTCCCTGTTTGTGTGGTTCCAGCTACACCAACCCACCCCACTCTTGCTCCTAAGAAAACCACCAGGTCTGCTGGAAACAACCCCTATAGAATGTGCAGCAGGAAGCCCTTGTGTGATCTTGGGCCAGTCACTTAATCTGTCTAAACTGCCTTGCTTTGAGTTGACATGTATAGTCTTGGAACAGAGCCTGGCACATAGTAAGTGCTACAGAAGTGCTAGCATTTATGTAAAAGGACCCAGAGGGTTGAAATCATGTCACCTCTCCCACCAACTGACAGGATTATCCATATCAGATGAAGCAGGGAAGGAAAACATTGAGCATGTTTGCTCTGGCTCCTACCACTTATGTGATCTTGGGAACGTTATTCGGCCTTTCTGGGTCTCAAATGCACCAACTAAAATGGAGCTAATAATAGTGCCTTGTTTGTAGGGATGCTGTGAGGACTAAATGAATGATGTCCATAGAGTGTTAACACTAGGCCTGGCCCACAGTGCTCACTGGGTGTCAGGTGTTTACGATCATGGTGACGTGCAGGAAGCTTTGCAATTGGTAAAGCATGTTTGGAAATACCACAGAACGGTTACATGACATGCCAGAGTTGCCGGCCTGGTAGGTTTCAGGGCTGATGCCAGATCTTTTGATTCTCAAGTCCATGGCTTTTACTATCACTCATCCCCTTACTTCCTCCCAGCACTAAAGGGTCAGAAAGCTAACCTGTCATTTTGTTTCCCTTGCTCCCAGGAGTGCCAAGATCTGGGGACATGTGGTGTTTGCCACTCAGGAGACATCTCCATATGACATAGCAGTGGTGAGCCTGGAGGAAGAACTAGAGGGTGTCCACATGCCTGTGCCCACAGAGCATTTCCACGAAGGTAAAGGACAAAGGGGCCCTCTGATCTGGGATGGACCTTAGGAAGGAAAGTCATTGTTGGACACTCAAACCCTGCAGATCAGGGAGCCAGTCCCCCAGGCCAACTCCCTTCCCACTCCTGCTGGACTAATAAGTCAGGGTGGCATCAAGCTGGCATGAAATCATTCTGGTTACAGTGCTTTGGCCAAGGATGCTCTTGGAGGCTTCCCTTCTTGTGCCCAGCATGCCCCAGGTGCTGGGAGGCAAGTGGAATCCCCAGTGAAGGATAAGGCATGCCTCTCTCCTGTGACCCTGTGGCAGTGTAGCATGGAGGTGCTGAGCCTTGGAGGCTCCTTATAGCACTGCAGGCTGGTCAGAGAGGTGTTGCTCTTTCAAGGCTGCCGTGCCACGATTTGAGTAAAAGGCTGTGTGATGCTGCCACAGAAGCACCAGAGGTCTCACTTTGTGCATGCAGTATGATGTGATGACAAAGAGCACAAGCTCTCTGAGCTGGCATCTCTTTTGCCACTTGCTAGCCCTGTATCCTTGGACAGGCAACGTAATGTTCTCTGCCTCAGTTTCCACATCTGTAAATGGGGACAGATGCCTATTCCTGGGTGTCGTGAGGCCTGGGTGAGGTGTTCCCTGTAAAGCGCTCAGCTTCATGCCCTGTGCATGCAAACACTTGGTAAAGGAGGGTTATGTAGTCATCATCACCATTTTTTTTTTTCACCAAGAGACGTCTTAGTTCCAGGAGGAGATGGATGTTAATTCTACACGCATTTATTGAGCCCCTAGCTAGGTTCTAGGAACTCCAAAGAGTGACTACCTAGTCTAGCAGGGGACGGAGGGTTCGGGAACAGCCTAATGATGAGAAGTGGTCGAGCAGGTGCAGTGCTGGGAACTCAGTGGAGGTCCCAGCCTCTTCCTGTAGGAACCTAGGGGAGGCTCTCTGAAGGCAGAAACTCCAAGGGCAGTGTTGGGAACTCTGGGGAGTGCAGAGATGGGATTGGGGAGGGTAGTTCTGCCAGACAGAGGAGGAGGCTTTCCATTTTCATCCTCTTTTCCTGTCTGGCAGGCGAGGCTGTCAGTGTGGTGGGCTTCGGTGTTTTTGGCCAGGCTTGTGGGCCCTCGGTGACCTCGGGCATCCTGTCAGCGGTGGTGCAGGTGGATGACACACCAGTGATGCTGCAGACCACGTGTGCGGTGCATGGCGGCTCCAGTGGGGGTCCCCTCTTCTCTACCTGTTCAGGAGACCTCCTGGGTAAGCAGCTCCTTGGCCCTCTCCCAGCCTCCCCCTTGCCAGAGCCTCAGTCCCATCTCGTGAATGCTTGTTGTTCACCACCTGTCTGAGAAGATTGCGTCATTTTGCCTGGGAAGTAGTTAGCCAAGGTTTTCAGGCTGTTCTGCTCCTGAGGGTAGAAAGAGATAGATGCACCCTGGCCAGTTTGGCTCAGCGGTTGAGCGTTGGCCTGTGGACCAGAGAGTCCTGGGTTTGGTTCCCGCTAGGGGCAGGTACCACAAAAAAAAAAAAAAAAATTCTCTTAAAAAAAATTTAATGAAAGAAAGAAAGAAAGAAAGAAAGGCTGAGCTGTGAGAGAATACAAGTGGGTTCTGGTTCTTTCTCTGCCACTAAGCCACAGTGCAACTTTAGGTAAATCACCTAATCTCATTCAATCTGTGAGACTCAGGAGTTGGGTCACGAGTGTAAGGGTCAGAGACTCCAAAGCTTTCAGAGGCTGGGCAGGTAAAGGAAGTGAATAAGTGAGTGAGGACAATATGGAGTGGAAGGTCAGGGGTGAACTGGGGTAAACACCACTCAGCTCCAACAATCGTTGCCACATTATGAAGGAATGGGCAAATACTGGACAACCTCCAATTTTTCATAAGAAGTTGTGAACCATTTTTTATTTTTACTTTTAAATATATGGCTGTTAAACCTTTCAATTAAAAAATTTTGGTAACTAATTCAGGTTTTTTAAAAAAGGTTACCTCCAACGGCCCAACTGTAGTCCAGCACACAGGGTTCATGTGTGCCTCCCCTTCTCGTATTTCTGACTGCTTTCTGCCATAGTGAGAGACTTGCTCTTACTAGCTACAATAATAGATTTACTTATTTCTTCAGCCTTAGTATACAAATAAAGTCAAGCAACCGTGACTTAAAAAAATATATATACAGATAAGTGCATACAGAAATAAATATATATGTGTATGTATGCGTGAGTTAATATATATATGTGTGTGTCCCAGCTCTGTCTGCGGTGACAGCCCAGTTGCAATGAGCACACTGAGAGCCTAGAACTTGGTTTCTAAGAGCCATTCTCTAATAAAAGGAACTGGAAACTGGTTGATACGAGGACTGGGACAGGGAAAATCTAAGATGCGCCTGGAGCAACGTGTGGTGCTGGAAGGGAAGGAAATTCTAGCAAAACAACCATATAATGGGGCATGTCAAATGTTGAAAGAACCAAGAGCCGACTTGAAGAAACTCCCATGGGAACAACTGGAGCAACAACAAATAGCAATAGTATTGCATTATAGCCCAAGGAAATAAATGAATATCCATGTGTCCGCACTGCTATAAATACATAACCAAATACATTTTTAAATGGAGACAAGCAACAACTCTTTCTTGCAGAAGATTTGCAATGAATAAATGCAGAGGAAATGAGGGAAATAGGAAATCACTGTTGGGTCACCACAGTAGGAAATGCTGCAGACAGATCCACTGGTGGATGCTAAAGTCAGTGGGCAATGGTTTAAATAGAAACAGGCTATGTGCCTAACCCTAAAATATTTAGTACTTTACACAGGGAAATAGTAAGAAACCTGGGCGATAACCCTTGGCCAAGTGTTAACATCACAAGTCATTCATATTGACATCGTACACCTCCTAATAGGAAGCACTGAGCACACGTTGCTTCTACAGTATTCTCAGCAACATGGAGCCTCAATCTTATCCTGAGAAAACATTAGGTAAACCCAAATTGAGAGACATTCTACAAAATAACTGACCTGTACTCTTCAAGGTGTCAAGGCCATGAAAGGTAAGGGAAGACTGGAACTGGCCCAGATTGGAGGAGACTGAGGAGAGGTGACAACCAGATGCTGTGTGGGATCCTGGATTGCATCCTAGGACAGAAAAAGAGCATTAATGAAAACACTGGTGAAATCCAAATGAGTTCTTTGCTTCAGTTAATAGCATTGGTTAATTTGTTGCTTATGATCAATGTTTTATGGTGACATAAGATACTAACAGAAGGAAAGGCTGGATGAAGGATATACAGGAACGCTGCTATTTTGGCAAGGCTTCTGCAAGTCTAAAACTGAAAAAACGCATGCGTACACATGCACACACATATGCACACTAAGCAGGCCAAACAAAATGTGTCTGTGTGTTTCATTTTATCCATCCATTCAGCAAGTATTTATGAGTGCCTCCTCGGAGCGGGGCACTGTTCTGGGTCTGGGGAGGCTGCTTGAACAAAACACGCAAGTCCTGACACCAGTTGGAGAGAAAGGTAACAAAACAAGTGAAACATATAGTGTGTTGGATACTGACAGTGTTAGGGAGAAAGTTGAGGCAGGACCGGGACTGGGACTCGGGGAGCTGGTGACCATGAAAGAAAGCCTGGCATCTGTCGCTGTGAGAGGTCTTCAAGCCCCCAGGAGGCCTAGGGCCTCCCTTCCCGTCCGCCTGTGTCCTGGCACACACACTTTCCTCTCTGTCTCCTCTACAGGGATCGTCGCCAGCAACACGCGGGACAATAACACAGGGGCCACCTACCCGCACCTGAACTTCAGCATCCCCATCACCGTGCTCCAGCCGGCCCTGCAGCGGTACAGCCAGACGGGCGACGTGGGCGGCCTGCGAGACCTGGACCACGCGGCTGAGCCAGTGCGGGTGGTATGGCGGCTGCAGCGGCCCCTGGCGGAGGCTCCGCGGAGCAAGCTCTGAGTCCGTCACCCACTCGAGGGAACATTGACCATTTTCCGCCATGGGACGTGCCAGGGTGACGGCAGCCTCAGGATCCTGACACCACACGCCCCAGCTGGGCAGCCTCCCCCATCACCACCCGCGTGTTTGGCTCTGGAATCTAGGTCAAATTTCTCTTCAGCCCCATGAGCCTCCAAGCCGGTAGCCCCTTTGGGGTGTGATCAGCCCCCACCTCTCTCTGCCCCCTGGCAGTAGACTCAGCTGTTATTCCCCATCTGGGGAGCCCAGCACAACAGGCCCAGTCCTGACAGACACATCAGCTGGAAGGCAGGCCCAGCCCTGGGTTCAAGTCTGTTCCCTGTCTCCTGATGGCCACTGGCCACCTGCAGCCGCCGCTTCCCCAGGGCCTTGGCTCCTCTCTGCTCTCTGTCAGAATTAGCGGCTGGCAGCCCTGGCCCATCCTTAGAAAACCTCGGCAGAGAGTCCCTGTCTGAAGACCAGAGAGAAGGGAAAGGAACATCTCCCTGTTCTGCCAGACCCATGGGGAGACAGAGTCCCTGAGAGTCAGGACTCCTGGGTCTTCACACATCAGGTGTCACTGACCCACAGGGGCGCTCTGACACAGTGCCTTAATTTTCCAGTGCATACAATGGGTCTCAGGGATCTTGGCAGGGTGGGGTGCGGGGGTTTAGAATGTGTCTGGTTGGGGTTTTGGAATAAACAGGACCTATGGGAGGAACTCTAAACTTGTATAAATCAGATTCTTGTTCCCCTTTTGAGAGATGAATTGGGAATAAGCAAGCATCGTTTCTGTCCTGCTTTCCCAGTGGGGTTTGATCCCACAGCATATTCTTATGCCAAACTGGTCCTTCCACTACCTCTGGCCCCTGGAAATTCAGACAAAAGTCCTTTGTTAGGCAAAGAGCCCCGAAGTTCAGTTCCAAAGCTCTGGGCACTGTTGAGTGGGAAGAGAGGCATGATGTAGGGTGAACTGCCTTGGAAAGGGCACAAGACGGGTTGCACCGAGACCCTCTTTCCTGTCTTGGATCAAGGTGTGCTCTGGTTGCCAAAGTGTCCAATGAGAGACATCTCTGATTTTCATGGTTTAGAGTAGGTCTTTGGAGATGGGCCACCAGCTCTGATATGTCATGCCCCAAGCCCCGGCTGGGGCCACTGCACACCTCACCTCTCTCCTGGCTCTAGGTTTGTGCTGTGAGTTTGAGAATCCTGCCTTTGCACCCTGCCTATTAGAATCTTCATCTGTCGGGGCCCAGAGCTTCCAAGACATCTTTCTTGACCTTCCCAAGCTCCAAGACAGGCTGTAGCACTCTGTTTAAGCTCTGTCTCCCACAGGGCCAGGGCATGTGCCCAGTACATTTCTGATGCTTGACTCACAGTTGAGACCCTCCTTTGCCTGCTCAGTGACCTCTGGCCCCCTTAGGAATGATGCCCTACTGAGGAGTTTCCTGGATTTAGGGTCGAGGCCCAGCTCCGGGGCTTTACTAGCTGTGTGAATTTGTGAAAGTTCTTAGCCTATAGCCTCACTTTGCTAATCTGTGAAATGGAGATTAGTAAAACTTACCTCAGAGGACCCATGTGAAAAGTAAATTTGAGAAATTATCCAAAACACTTAGTTTGTTGTCAATATTAGCTACTATTTTTCTAGACTGCTGGTATGATTGTTTCATCAGAAATGGGAAGAATGGGGAGTGATGTCGGAGTTAGACATTGGTGATGGTTGCACAACCTTTGCATTACTGAATTGTACACTTTAGAACAGTGCATTTTATGGTGAGCAAACATTAGTGAACTCCTGGGGACCCAGGTGCTGGGTCAGTGGCAGATACTAGAGACCCAAAATCCAGCTGAATGAGATCTCTGCCCCAAAGGGCTGGTCAAGGGTGGTGGTTGTTATTGGTGTCAGTTTAATCTCCATCCTACTTTCCTGTAGGGGTTTCAGGAGGAAAAAAAGGGATAAAAACTATTTGAAAGTTTGCAAAGTCCAGGACAAATGCAAGGTTTGCTGTGCTTGAAGCATCAAATCCAACGCATGGCTCTCTGATGGTTCCCTATGAGATGGTTTAGGATGGGGTGCCATGGGCTCTCTGTACCCACACTCTGGCATCATGGCTCTTCTGAGTCCCCCGGGGCTAAGAGGAGGAGATGGAAACTCCCACAGCTCTCACTATGTTTTGTTCTTCAGCCTACATTCATGGGGCAGAGTGTCAGCTGGGATAGGAGGAGAGACAAGGATTCCAGAGAAGTGGGAGATGCAGCCTGGGCTTCACAGGCGAACAGTGAAATTGTGGTGCTCACAGGGCTTCTCCCAGGGCAAGATGATTCTGGGAACCAACTTCCAGATTGAGTTGATCACAACACTCCCTGTGCCAGGGGTATTGGATACAAGGTCTTTGACCACAGCTTTTGCAAGAGGTACAGAAAGGGCCACTTTAGTGTAAACATTTGTGAAAACCAAGAAGGTGAAGGGCAGTATTCAAAAGAGCATTGGGGTGGCCAGGACAGTGTGGCTTAGTGGATTGAACGTCCTCCCATGGGCTGAGAGGTCCCACTTCAATTCCCGATCACATGCCTGGGTTGTGGGCTCCATCCCCAGTGGGGGTGTGCAGGAGGAGGCCAGTCAGTGTTTCTGTGTCACACCGATGTTTCTTTCTCACCCTTAAAAAAAAAATCAATACAAACATATTAAAGGGGGGGGGGTACTTTGGGGCGGCAGTCAGGAAGCTGGTAAGGCACTGTGGAGCCTTGTGCAAGCAGGCTGCTGCGAATTCTTGCTGCTGTGAGCCAGACACCACACTAAAACAGTTCACAGAAATGATCTCCGCACCTTTTCCCCAAACTCTCAGGTGCTAATATTTGCATTACATAGAAGATGGCTTAGATTGATCCTACTGCCAGGTTGTAGCTTGTATTAGTCCATTTCTTTACATATCTACTTAGTCCAAGCCCGGCCCCCACCCCAAGTAGTTCCCCCAATTTCAGGCAGCCCTCCTACTCCCCCATCCTTTCACCACAGAACATAACCCAGACCTGTCACTCTTCTGCTTAAAATCCTGCAATGGCAAATCCCATTGCCCTTGGGATGACAGGACAGCCTTCAGCAGGGCCGCTGGCCTCCGCACTGCCCCGGCTCTCAGCAATTTGCACTGCCTCTGGGTCTGCACACCCAGAGCGCGCTTGCCTCGCGCGACCCAGGGCCAGCTCCTGGCCTCGGAGGAAGGCTCGGCACTCTTCCTGTGCCTCCCGTTTTTCTTCAGTGAGCAGCACGTGTCTGACACACTGTCTTTCCCAGACGGTCACCTCGTTGGAAGGAAAGCAGAAACGCGGCCTGTTTCGTTCTCCATGTAGCTCCCAGCTCCTCGCACAGGGCCAGGCGTACAGAGGTGCCCTACTGGGTTTGCCGGATTATTATGTGCGTAAAGGCAGGAGGCTGGTAACCCGCCGCAGGTGGCACTGCCAGTGCCCCAAAGCCCCCCTCTCAAGTCCTGGTGGCTTCTGGCAGAAAGTCAGGCCAAACTTTGGAGTCCGAGGGGCTGGCGCAGGGCCAGGCGACAGCGGGTCTTCTGTTCCACCGTTGGGGCCAGTCCCAGCCTCCAGCGGCGGGTGGGGCGCGCCAGCCCCAGTCGTCCCCGGGTGCCGCGGGGCGTGGCCGGGGCGTGGCCAGAGTGGCGCCGAGTCACGGGGCGGGGAGGGTCTTCCGGACGGCCGGCGGCGACCCGGGTGGCCGGCCAGAGCGGCGCGGGGGAGGTGTCCCGCTGGTGAGCGGCGCGGCGGCGTGCTCTCGGGGTTCCCCGCACCCGCAGGGCCCCAGACTCCCCGAACAAGGACCGCCCGCCTGGAAACGCAGCGGACCGCGTCGGAGGTCGGAGGTCAGTGTGCCGAAGTTGTGGCCTTGGCAGGAGGGGGCGGTCCTCTGGGACAGGGGGGCCTGCACACCCCAGTTCCCCCAAAACAAACCCTCGGCGAGGAAAAGGCAAACTCGCCCCTCCCAGTCCGACCCCTGAAATTACTGCTAAGACTTCCCAGGTAAGTGTTCCCCCAGGCACTCCCCACCCACCGGCCGGAGGATGGCTGCTGGCTGGACGCTGGTGTCGTCTCTAGGAGGGAAATACCCGGGTCTCAGTGCACAGAGCTCTGGGTTGCTAGGAGCTCCTTCCCCACGAAGCCCAGGTTCCGCGGGGACAAAGGCCAGAGGGCGCCGACCTGACGGGGCTGCGGAGCCCAGGGCGCCTGAAGTCCACTAGGAGCTGCTTTTAGTGGGTGAGGGTGGGCGCTTTCCTTCCAACACCACCCACTGTACACACCTGGCCAGTCCGCTCCAGCGCGCATCTCTTTGCCCCCTGGATGTACGTGACTCCACCCACGCTCACCCCAGCACCCAGAGGAGCCCTTGAACGGTACTGTGTGTAACCCCAAATCTGGAGACCTCCATTTTAGGGGGAAGACTGTGCCCAGTTGGGCCTGGCCTTGTTCAGGACCCCCAGCAGTTAAGTGGTAGAGCTGACCAGAGCTGATGTGCTCCGGGGCCAGACTGGTCTTTGGCTGGTGGTGAAATAAGAAAGCCAGGATCAGACACAGGTGGTGAGCAGAGACCATGGTGGTATGGGAACTACAAGTTTGGTCGCCAGGGTTTTGGTACAAAAGAGTGTATATGACACTGGAATGAGCCTGTCTGCCCAGTGCTGACCTCTCCTGGGGCATGAAAGGACAGCCCCTTTGTCAGACTTTGAGTCCCTTTCAGAAATTGGTCTTTTTTTGGATTGTATTCAGCATGTCTTCTCTGGGGAAATGGCCATGGAATGCTTACTCTCAACCCCACCCCCACCCCATCCAGTGAGTGAGGCCAAGGGTCTTTCTCTCTCCTCCAGATAGATAGGGGACATTCATGGTGCTTGGAGTCACACCCTAGTGACCCTCTCGACCTGGATGGCCCCTCTGGAAACATGGCGGTAGAAATCCACCCCGGGCATAACTAGTAGGACTCAAGAAGCTAAGTGTTTTCTTTGTAATTCCTGTGAAGCAATCCTGGACTATGTCCTTGCATTGATTAGCACCCACATGCTTCCCGCTGTCTGTCTTCTGAGATGTGACCTCTCTACAACTTTGGCACAGATGTAACTTGCTTGTTTTTCAGTAGATTCCTAAAAACCTCTTTGTATTATTAGAGAAGAGTTCCCCTGGGGCCATGCTGGGTGCCCTTGGTAGAGAAAACAGGATTTACTGAGAAAATTCCAGTGTGAACCAGATTTGTGTGTGTGTGCGTGTGTGCATGTGTGTGTGTGTGTGTATGTGTGTAGGTATACGTGTGTGGGTATGTGTTGGGGGAAGGGCAAAGGTAAATTTCCTTAGGAGTTGCTGGACAATTCGGATTTGTTTTCTTGGACCTTCTCATATGCTAACCTTCCTGAATCTGGGCAGATTTAGTTAAGATTCTCTGTGCTTGCTTGGTGTTCAGTTCAAAATCAGATGGTGGGTGTGACAGTTCCTTAAGAAGTTAAATCCAGGGTTACCATAGGTCCCAGCAATTCCACTCCTAGGTATAATCTTAAGGGAATTAAAAACATATGGCCACAGAAAAACTTGTGCATGAATGTTCATACCATTATTTATTATAGCCAAAAGGTGGAAACAACCCAAATGTGCGTCAACTGATGGATAAATAAACAAAATGTGGTATCTCTATAAATGGAATATTCCCGAGTCATAAAAAGAAATGAAATACTGATATATGCCACAGCTTGGATGAATCTTTTATTTTTATTTTTCCTTTATTGATTTTAGAGAGAGAGGAAGGGAGAGGGAGAGAGAGATAGAAACATCGATGAGAGAGAACATCAACTGGCTGCCTCCTGCATTCCCCCCACTGGGGATTTGGCCCATAACCTGGGCATGTGCCCTGACAGAGAATTGGTCCAGTGACCTCTTGGTGCATGGGTTGACACTCAACCACTGAGGCACACCAGCTGGGCTTGGATGAATCTTAAAAACATTATGCTAAGTGAAAGAAACCAGACAAAAGGTATGGAATGGGCAAATCTGTAGACAAAAAGATTAGTGGTTGCCAGGGGATGCAGGAAGGAGGGAATGGGGAGTGACTGCTAATGGATGTGTTTTTGTATTCTTTATTTTTAATTTTAATTTAATTTTATTATTTATTTATCCTCACCCGAGGACATTTTTCCATTTTTTTGTTCAGATAGATTGGGAGGGGGAGAGAGAGAGAGAGAAACATCAATGTGAAAGGGACACATCGAGTGACTGCCACCCGCATGACCAACCAGGGTCGGGGACAAACTGCAACTGAGGTACGTGCCCTTAGTGGGAACCGAACCCGGCTCTCCCTGGACCGCAGGCTGACGCTCTAACTGCTGAGCCAAACCGGCCAGGGCCCAAAACCATAATTTACATTAAGATTCGCTTTTGGTCTTGTACATTCTATGGGTGTGGACAAATCATGGACAAACTTTTCATGTAAAAGTCACCCACTCTAAAAATGAATGGCTCCAGAGTATTCTAGTGTATGGGTGTATAACAGTATGTCCTACAGTCTTCCAGTGATTGAGGCTCTTTTGCCATCACTACAGCTACATTAAAACATATTAATTCAAGCCCTGGCTGGTTTTGCTTAGCGGTTAGAGCGCCAGCCCTAACCGGAGTTGTGGGTTCGATTCCCATCAAGGTCATGTACCTTGGTTGCCATTCGGTCCCCAGACCTGCTCGGGGTTGTGCAGGAGGCAGCCGGTGGATGCTACTCTCTCACATTGATGTTTCTCTTGCTCTCTCTCTCCCCTTCCCTCTGACGATAAATGGAAAAAAAATATCCTTAGGTGAGGATTAAAAAAAGCAACAACATTTTAATTCAAGCCCTGGCCAGTTTGGTTCAGTGGTTAGAGCATCAGCCCTTGGACAGAGGGTATGATTTCTGGTCAAGGGCACGTACCTGGGCTGCAGGTTGGATCCCTGGCCCCAGTCAGGGTGGTGCAGGAGGCAGCCAATCGATGTGTCTCTCTCACAAAGATGTTTCTCCCTCCCTCCCTCCCTCCCTCCCTTCCTCTCTATGTAAAAATCAATGGAAAAATATTCTCAGGTTAGGATTAACAAACACTAAACAAAAACACCAAACAAAAGTAATGAAACATCACCAGTTGCACGTGTGCTTTTTTTATTGATTTTTTTTTTTTTTAATAGAGAGAGGAAGGAAGGGAGAGATAGAAACGTTGATGTGAGAGAGAAACATCTATCGGCTGCCTCCTGCACGTCTCCTAGTGGGGGTCGAGCCTGCAACCCGGCATGTGCCCTGACCGGGAATTGAACCAGCACCTCTCAGTCCATGGGACGATGCTCAATCCACTGAGCCACACTGGCTGGACGCATGTTCTTTTTGAGCACCTACGGAGTGTGTGGTTGGGGAGCAGCTGTATGGCTTAAGGTCGGGGTTTAGCTATATGGCAAAGTGGGTCAAGGCTGAGCAGAGGGGAGTCCAACTGTCCTCAGGGGCCAAGCAAGAATGAGCACTGGGCCCTGGTCAGTTTGGCTCAGCGGTTGGAGCGTCGGCCTGCGGTCCAGAGAGACCCGGGTTTGGTTCCCTCTCAGGGCACGTACCTCAGTTGCAATTTGTCCCCGGCCCTGGTTGGGTCCTGCGGGTGGCAACCACTCCATGTGTCCCTTTCACATCGATGTTTCTCTCTCTTCCTCGCTCTTCCTCCCACTCTATCTGAACAAAAAAAAATGTCCTTGAGTGAGAATAAAAAAGAATGAGCACCGGGCCCTGACCCTCTGGCCTAGTTGGAGCATTGTCCTGTACATCAAAAGGCTGCAGGTTCATCCCAGACAGGGCACATACTTGGGTTGTGGGTTTGATTCCCGTTCAGGGCGCATACCTAGGTTGTGGATTTGATCCCTAGTCAGGGCATATACGGGAGGCAACTGATCCATGTTTCTCTCTCACATTGATGTTTCTCTCTCTCTCTCTCTTTCTCTCAAATCAGCAAACACATTCTCGGGTGAAGATAAAGAAAAGAAAAGAATTGGCACTGGAAGCATCTGCGTGTGCAAGAGTGTTGGGTAAGGGAGGCTGCTGAGGAGGAAGGGATCGGCTGGAGAGCTGCCCGCCCCCCACCCCCCACATGGCAGTGTCAGAGGTCAGCAGAGGAGAGAAGAGCAGATTCCAGGAGAGGCTTCAGGCACGGAGTCCTCACGGGCCCGGTGTGCCCGCAGCCCCAGACCCCCCGCTGGAACTCCAGAGAAGCAGTTTGCCTTCCTTGAGGGTGTGCCTGGTCGGGTAGGCCAGGCTTTGCCCTTTGGGGAAACCAGTTGATCCTGGGCCAGTTCACTGCACCTCAGGCCTGTGCTGGGGTTACTGGGTCTACCCTCCTCCCCGGGAAGGGGACCCTGTGAGGGGCCCAGGGCAGGCCTGGGGGTTAGAACTGGTGAATGTGTAGGCCAGAACACTGCCCTGGCGTGACAGGCTCCTTGTGTGTGCTGGCCCCTGTCACCTGCCCTCCTGGCCAGTCCACCTTGTTCCCTGAACTCATCTTGAGCCTTCCTTTCTGCCACTGGACTGCCTGGCCCAGGCGTTTCTAAGGCTCCTCCTTGACCTTCCCTGGGTGGCCCGAGGTGACCTGACCCATGGTGGGCCCTCTCTCCCCAACAAGCTGTGTAGCTTCTCTTGGTCCTGTGCCCAGCTAGCTTGGAAATAGAGCTCTCTAATGTTTCCCTGACCTCCTTGCTGGCTGCTGGACCCAAAGGCAGGTTGGCACAGAGGGAGCCATGCTGAAGGGGGCAGGTGAAACGTACCCCTCCCATAGCCTGCCTCATCACCTGCTACGTGCCCAGCCTCTGCTCAGCTCCTGGTGTTTACTCCGGACCTCTGGCTGGGCCTCTGGGCCCTCTTGGATTTTGGCTCCCAGGAGACATTCTCCTTCTGGCCCAGTTGGCAGATTCAGCCGGCTCTGGACAGTCTTTCAGAGGGCCTGGGGCTGTGAAGGTGGCACTGCCTGTTGGGACTTGTTCTGTTCCTAGCCCTGCGGAGGGCTTTTCCTCATCTGTAAATGGGTAGATGCACACGGCCCAGTGAGTTGGGGACCATTTAACCAGTGAGAAAAAAAAGTTTAAAAAAAGTTCCCTCCCTCACCAGGTTCTCCCTCCCCCAGGGGAGAAATTAGGCAGTGGGCATTTGAATACCAACTAGAACAGCCTGGAGTTCCAACCATAAACTGCCCCCATAAATGAGGGGACTATCTTGGGGGCCACCATGTGTTGGAAACTGTGTGCAAGGACATCTTAGGGTGTCCCCTCCCATTACAGGGGGTAAATGGAGGTCCAGAGAGGGGAGAGGCTGTGCCCCAGGCCACACGGGGGGCCGGAGGAGTGGTGGTCTTCCAGCTGCTGTGAAGCTGCCTGCAAGGGCCCCAGGTGGGCTGGACCACGCCTCCTCCAAGGCTGAGCTGAGTCCACTTGCTCCTTCCTTGCCACCCCTGCCACCCCCCACTGTGAACCTCCAGTCCCTGAAGCCCACAGCTGTTGGGCCTCTCTTACTGCTTTCTTTGCAGTGTGAGCTTCGCTTCGTCCTTTAGTGTCCTTCTTTGGCAGCCTGGCCTATTTCTCCCTCTCCTTAGATCGCTGCACAGGCAAGGAGGAGTTTTGATTGCCTGTCGCCTCTAGTCAGCATTTCCCAACAACACTTCCATCTCTCAGGATCTCAGCTGCAATCAAGATTACTCCTCAGATGGCTAGACTCCCACGCAGGAGAGCCCTGAGGCTCTGCACCACGGGCATCCTTCTCTGGGGTTAAGCTGGGTGGGGACAAGGCCTCTGACCGCAGCCCCAGGCCAGCCTCTCAGCCCTCCAAAGGGACAGACTGGACTGCCGGGTGACTGGGCTCTTTGTAGGGCAAGCCTGGCAGGAGCTTCTCAGGCTGGCTGGGGGAGCCCAGGCAAACTTTGCAGCCTCCTCCTTTCCCTCTGTGCTCAGCAGCCCAACACCGTCCTCTGCCTCAGATGTCCTCCAGTGTCCAGCTCTGGGTCAAGGGTTTTTGAATTTCAGCTCCTCAGGAACTCAACCAGGGTTTGGCACTGGTCTGGCTGCACCCGTCCATGTGAGTGAGCCTGGGCACGCTTGGCCTGTAGTCCTGGCCTGCCACCCTCCGCAGACACTGCCATCGATGGCCGCTCCCCTGTCCCTGGCATCAAGCAGGAACTTGCTCCCCTGCCCCTCCCTGGAGCCTGCACGATCAGCACTGCTTCCCTCGTCTTCACCGCCGGCATTCCTTCTCGGTCTTTAACCAGCACTGTTTCTTCTTGTTCCGTGTCTCCTGGGGGTGTCACCCAGTAGTCCAGGTACATATCCGCTGCCCCAGGAACGCCCAGGGGAATGAGCTGCCCACTCTAGGCCTCTCCTCCACCCCACTGTCATTGCCTTGGCCACACAGCATCCTCTTTTGCAGGTTGATCATCATAACCTATCCATTGATCTCCTTAGACCCCGGGCTCAAGCTAGTGACCTGTGAGTGAGCAGGATCTGGTCATAGTGTTTGCTCAGCGTGGGGCTGGAGGACTTGTTCAGTCCCTTGGATGTGGCCTGTGCCTACACTTGCCCACAGGCCTGCCCGCCCTTCCTGTTACTGCCTGGCCAGCGTCCATGTGCACACCCTGTCCTGCCTCTGGGCTGTGAGCCTCCTTTACAAGGGCGGGGGCCATGTCTGTCTGTCTCTGACCTCGACCCATGGCACAGGGCAAAGAGCAGGAGCTCATTTAAGTTGTGTTGATGAGTGAGCAAGTACATCGAGTGGGGGAAAAAAGTGCAGAACAGTTTAATGTGTGCAAAAATAATTATGATTGAATCAAACCTGAGACCCTTTGGTCCAAGGTCTGACGCTCTAACTGCTGAGCCAAACTGGCCAGGCCTACAATTAAGATCTTAATGATAGCCTGGCCAGTGTGGCTCAGTGGTTGAAAGTCGACCCATGCACCAAGAGGTCACTGGTTTGATTCCTGGTCAGGGCACATGCCCAGGTTGTGGGTCTGATTCCCAGTGGGGGGGCAGGCAGGAGGTGGCCAGTTGATGTTCTCTCATCGATGTTTCTGTCTCTCTCTAAAATTCAATAAAGGAAAAAAAATCTTAGTGATAATGGCGCAAATGAAAAAGACCAAGTCTTGGCACTTGGGGCCTTTCTTGCTGCGGGCTCACCCTGCCCTCCTCTCCTCGAGCCCCAACTCTGATGTGGTCTCTCCCTCTATCCCTGCAGGCCTGGTTTGCGATGGGGTCGCAGGTGTCCGTGGACGTGCGCGGTGTGCACGTGGTGATCGTGGGTGGGGGCTTCGGTGGGATAGCGGCCGCCAGCCAGCTGCAGGCACTGAACGTCTCCTTCACACTGGTGGACATGAAGGATTCCTTCCACCACAATGTGGCCGCGCTCCGGGCCTCCGTGGAGAGTGGTAACGGGCTCCTTTCTGGGCTTTCTTGGTGGGAGTGGCCTGACGCTGTGGGTCTAGGGTGGTTTTCTCACGTAGGGCATGGTGCCTAAATTCTACGACTAGACACATTGTGGAGAATCTTAAGATCATTGTTCGTAAGCAGCTACCATATCAGCCTCAGACGTAAGGGCTTCAGCTTCCCTGAGGGCCCGAAGCCCAGACTGGCCCCGGAGGGGTGGTGGGTGCCTCGGAAGCACCGCTGGTCCAGCTGTTTGGCCAAGGACATTGCTTTTAGGATGCAGCTCGGGAAAGGGTCTGTTATTCTGGCCTGTGGGCAGCTCAGTTTTACATTGTGCCCTCCTCTGTGTCCATTCCCCAGGGTTTGCCAAAAAGACATTCATTTCCTACGCGAAGAGCTTCAAGGACAGCTTCCGGCAGGGCCTGGTGGTTGAGATCGACCTGAAGAATCAGAGGGTGCTGCTGGAGGACGGCGAGGTGATCGAGGGCCGGGCCGCTGCTGGGAGGACCTGGGCAGGTCTCAGGGTGGGGAGAGGCCTCTGGCCCGAGCCCGCCTGGTGCTGGTAGCAGCCTCCTCTTGAGCAGAGGCCTGGCGACAGCAGCCACAGTGTGGTGGCAGGCACTTCCTGAGCCTTTGCTGTGCGCTGGGCACTGTCGGAAGCCTTGCGCAGTCCCGCTGAATGCCCGCCGCGACGCCGAGGGAGGTGGTGTAGCCTCACTTCACGTGAGCGTAGTGGCTTGCCCAGGACCCCATAGCTGGGGAGAGGCTCGGCCAGCATTTGAGCTCAGACAGTTTTACCCCAGAGCCCATGCTCTGAAAGCCAGGGTCCTGGAATTAATCCTCCTCGAATTAATTTTAGGGCCAGGTCTCTCGGTTGGAAAGATTGCTGAGAGTCTCCTTGTTCTGCGGTTGCAGGCCAGGCTTTTCAGAGCCCCGGAAGGGTCCATGAGGGCAGCTCGGCCTCCCTGGCCAGTGCGGGCTGAGCGGGCGCAGACCTCCTGGTCCTCCGCCCGGCAGAGCAGCACTGGTTTTCCAACTTTTATATTTAGGCTCCAAACAGGGTCTCCCTTTCCCCTCCTTCCCTCCTCTCCTTTCTGCTTCTGTGGGTGCAGGGGGTAGTTTCCTCTAAAACACCCAGGGCAGTCTGAACTAATTCCACACTGGGAGCTGGAGTCCTGTTCCCCCAAAGTGGTTTCCTGTCGCCTGCTTGCCTTCCCCCACGGCGGGGAGCTCACCCCTCTCATTTCCATGTCAGGTGGCTCTGGACGGAGGTCAAGTCTGCTTCCTTAGGTACCCCTGGATTCTAGTGCCACCCCTTGGCCCAATCATGTGATGGTTTTACTCCCCTCCGAAGAGGGCTGCCTCAGCACGCCCCGAGGGCCCTGGCCGGTTTGGCTCAGCGGTTAGAGCGTCGGCCCGCGGACCAGAGAGTCCTGGGTTCGGTTCCCGCTAAGGGCACGTATCTCAGCTGCAGTTTGTCCCCGGCCCTGGGTGGGGTCATGTGGGTGGCAGCCACCCGATGTGTCTCTCTGACATCGATATTTCACTCTTTCTCCTTCCTGCTCTGTCTGAAGGATAAATGCAGAAATGTCCTCTGGTGAGGATTAAAAAAAGAATGCCCCAAAGCCGCACCGCCTGGTGCTCCTGGCCCCGCGGGCCTGGGGTTGGATGGAGAACTCAGGCCTGTCCTCGCCTTTCTTCGCCTTGCCCCTCGCAGGTGCTGCCCTTCTCACATCTTATCCTGGCCACGGGCAGCACTGGGTTCTTCCCTGGCAAGTTGAACCAAGTCTGCAGCCAGCAGGAAGCCATTCAGGCCTACGAGGACTTGGTGAAGCAGGTGAGCTACCCCTGACCGGGGGCAGGGCAGTGAGGGCAGACGGGGCGGCCCCCAGGAGAGCAGAACAGCTGTGGGGACAGTTGGGGCTGCAGCAGGGAGACCCTAGAAGGTGTTCGGGCTGTGACAGTGGCTGCAAAGACGGAGACCTGGAGAGACTCCTGGGAGGAGACCTCTGGCTCTGTCTTCAAGGTCTGGACATGAGCACCAGACCTGCTCACGCAGCGATGGGTGGGCCCAGCTGCTCTGGCGGGGACCCTGGTTGCATGGGGCCTTGTGACGGGTAGAGCAGGGGTGGCCATGACCTCAGCCAGCTTCCACAGCAGTGCTGAGATGGGGGGTGCAGCTGCTCTGGCGGGGACCCTGGTTGCACGGGGCCTTGTGACGGGTAGAGCAGGCGTGGCCATGACCTCAGCCAGCTTCCACAGCAGTGCTGAGATGGGGGGTGCAGCTGCTCTGGCGGGGACCCTGGTTGCACGGGGCCTTGTCACAGGTAGAGCAGGCGTGGGCCGTGACCTCAGCCAGCTTCCACAGCAGTGCTGAGAATGCAGGGTGCAGCTGCTCTGGCGGGGACCCTGGTTGCACGGGGCCTTGTGACGGGTAGAGCAGGCGTGGGCCGTGACCTCAGCCAGCTTCCACAGCGGTGCTGAGATGGGGGGACAGTCTCTCCCCTTGGAGCTCACGAGGAGTGGACACAGAGAAGGACGTTCAGGTGAGCGCTGCTGCATGACTTAGCCAGGTCTCCTCAAGCTTCGGAGAAGCTGGGGAGAACAGGCGTTCGTGTGGAGGTCAGGAGACCTGGGCTATGGTCACCAGAAGGGGGGCAGGCAGTGTGATACCTGCCTCTTGGGGCTTTTGTGAGAATCAAAGGAGGAAATGCAGGGAGACCCCCAGCAATTGCCAGGCCCTGAGGAAGCACGTTTGGGCCCCACATTTGGAAAGAGTTCTCTACTCCTTTGGCAAGGACCCCTCGCTCCCCCTGCCCCTTGCTGCCCACGGGCAGGGTGAATTCGAGGGTGTTTTTACATTTGCTTCTGCTCCAGGTCCAGCGCTCCCAGTCCATCGTGGTGGTGGGCGGAGGCTCCGCGGGAGTGGAGATGGCAGCGGAGATTAAAACAGAACACCCCGACAAGGAGGTGGGCAAGCGCCTCGGCTCGGTGCTCGCAGGGAAATCGGAATTGCTCAAGGCCTGGGAGGCGGAGCTCCTGCACCATACAGTGGGAGCCTGTTTCCCGTCTCCTGCTCTCTGCACCGAGGGGTCCTCTGCCGTCCCTTCCTGCTGGGAATTTTTCTGGGGAGCCAGGGTGTGTCCTCGTTCAGTGAGGGGTCCTGCCTTCTGGCTCACCCAGGAGGACCAAGCCCAGGGAGACGCCTTACAGAAGAACTCCTGGGTCCCCTTCAATGCCCCAGCTTTGTGATCCAAATGTAGACCTCGGTTGCCTCTTTTGGCTGACAACTCGCTTGTCAATGGCACCCTTAGTGGTTTTTTGTCTGTGGCTTTTTGGTTTTTAAGACAGTAGCCCTTTGCCCTGGACAGTCCCGTTGGGGAGCCTGTGGTGCAGCCCCTCAGTAAGGACTGGCCAGCACTGCCTTCTGCCCTCGGGAGGGTGGCCCTATTCCCTTTTGAACGATGGAGGCCTAGAGCATCTGCCTGGCACCTGGAGAGACACGAACCGCCCTGGCAGGCCGTGGAGGCTCAGCGAGGCTGAGTGGTGACGGGTCATCACGGAGGCAAGAGCATTGCAGCCGGTGCCAGATCTCGGCTTCTGAGCCACGTGGAGCCCGGGGCTGGTTCCTTCTCCCCAGGGAAAGGCACGTTGGTTTGAAAAGTGAGATCAACCTGGGCTAATTTAATTACATGGTTGTTCTCTGACAAATTGTTGGAAATTATTATGAGTAATTGATGTAAAGTTCATTAATTTTGATTGATCGGGTAAAGACCAGTGTGAAGTAGGAAGTAACGCCGTACAACTTCCGTATGTTTATAATCAGTAGACAGATACGAGTAACAGGAGCCACCGTGCTGTGTTACACGCTTTACACGCGTGCTCATGGCATCATTGCATTTCTGAGGGGACTGTGGTCTCCCCTTCCGGAGCTGCCAGGAGGGGTCCAAGTGAGTATCTGAGATGGGCTTCAACCCAGGCGGTCTGGTTTCGAAGTCCAAGCTGTGAGCGCCGTTCCAGGCTGCCTCCCACTGCCCTGTCTGGCCCAGACGGCAAGCGGACATGCCTGGAAGCTCCAGTTTCAGACCAGCGTTCATATAAGTGTCAGGTTGATTTACAGTTAGAATGTCAGTGGCTTATATGTAGACGGTGTAACTGTAAGTGCCCAAGGAGGCTTGAGAAGAATTTCCCATGTGGCACCCCGTGTGGACTGTGGAGCACTGGCGCCTCCCACGAGTCCCAGACTCGGAGACATGGGCTGTGGCCCAGCTTGCCTGTCTGGTTCCAGTGCTGGGCAACCTGCTTCCCTTGGGCCTCAGTTCCCAGATCTGCAGACTGGGGGTAGGGGAGGAGGCGGGGCAGACAGACTGATGTGTTTTTAAGTCCCTTCTTGTGAGCAGGAGACTCAATGGCTCCTTCCCTGTCCTCTGGTTGTGTGTCCCCAGGTCACTCTCATTCACTCCCACGTGGCCCTGGCTGACAAGGAGCTCCTGCCTTGTGTCCGGCAGGAAGCGAAGGAGATCCTGCTCCAGAAAGGCGTGCAGCTGCTGCTGAGTGCGTGCCCGCTCCCCTCCGCCCTGCCCCTCCCTGGCCTAGTGAGGTCGGACTCAGAGGTGTGGTCACTGCCCCCTGCTGGAGGGTCGCCGTACTCTCTGAGTCCTGGGGTTGAGCATCAAAGCCCATTTGAGCCCTGTTGTCCAGCTGGAGGCTGTGTCGGTCCTTGGGCAGGGCAGAGGCCCTAGTACTGATGGGATTTCCATGTCACGGAGGCAGTACAGCCCTGGCTGTTGCTTTATTATTTATTTATTTATTTATTTTCTTTATTGATTTTTTAGAGAGAGAGGAAGGGAGAGGGAGAGAGAGATAGAAACATCAATGAGAAAGAACATTGATTGGTCACCTCCTGCATGCCCCCCACGGGGGATTTGGCCCACAACCTGGGCATGTGCCCTGACTGAGAATTGAACTAGTGACCTCTTGGTGCATGGGTCAACGCTCAATCACTGAGCCACACCGGCTACTGCTTTAGACAAAGTGCAGATGGTACCTATTAGTTGAATGATTTAAAAAAATCATCTAAAGGATTTGACCTGAATTATGATGTGTGTGATGGAGAGAATAGGTTTTATGGTTTGTATTTTGAGGGTTGTGAGGAGTGTGGCTTTTGTCCAGAGCAAGAGGGAAAGAACCACCCAGCATGCTAGAGAGTGGTGCCCTCCACACGTCATGGGGCTCAGCCTCTGTGTTCAGGGAGGGGGAGGTATCTGCTCTGTGACAGCCCATCCTGGCCCTGGTCTCCTTGTACCTGGCTTTGCAGCACTGACCGCTTTTACTTTTAGGCAGTGAGGAGAGTAGGCTGCTTTCCTGACTGTTCTGTTTCACCTTTGTCAGTGTGTCTGGGGGGCTTGTTCTGCCCGCTCAGGTCGGTGCAGCTGACAGGCGGGGAGGCATGTTGGAGGTCTTCCTCCAACAGCTTTTCCCAGAACTTCTTGGGAAACTCAGCCTTCAATTGCTTCTTGGAACTTCCCTCCCATTATATCCCTTGGGCCCGATGTGCAGATTGTGCTTCTTGGAGCAGCAGATGGACCGGAGGGGAGCAGGGAGGGCAGGGGGAGTGGAGTCATTGCCTAGGTGGGCCACAGCATCCAGGCCTTTCCTGGAGTCTTCATGGGTCCCCAGACCTCCCCAGGTCAGCCTTGGCTCGGGCCCCAGCCTTGTCCACCTTCTGCCAGCCTCCTGGTCACAGAGATCCCTCGACAGGTGAGCGGGTGAGCAACCTGGCGGAGTTGCCTTTCAACGAGTACCGAGAGCGCATCAGTGTCCAGACGGACAAAGGCACTGAGGTGGCCACCAACCTGGTCATTGTCTGCAACGGTATCAAGATCAACAGCTCTGCCTACCACAGTGCATTTGGTAAGCAGGAGGGGAGCCATTGTCCATTCCCCAGGTCACCTCCTCGCTGTCCAGCCGTCCAAGAAGGCCCCTCAGGCCTTTCCCCGGGAATCGGCACCAGCCCACCTCTCCCCTCCTGTCTCTTCTGAATGGGGACATCCAACTTTAAATTCAGGTTCATGTTCACTCTTGCTGTCCTTGCTTCCTCTGTGACAGTGATGTCTTAGCCCAAGATGTCCAGTGACCAGAATTTTCCAAAATTGGGGGCCTGCCCCCTAGTGGTGAGAGACGAGAACAGGTTTCAGAGAACCGAAAGAGATCCGTTTTCTGTTCCTTTCCTTGGATCACAGATGCAGAAGGAATTATGGGGTCAGGCCTTTCTGTATTCACAGGTGTACTGCTCTCTCCAAACCCCCACCCAGACGTTTGGCCACTTGAGCTTGGAGCGACCATTTGGGGAGTGGGGGCAATGTCGTGGCTTCATGTTCTTAAAACTAAGTATTGAACCGTCCAGCTGACTGGCCTCCATGTGTGAACTGGAGACTCCGTGGCTCCTTGTCTGGCCCCGTGGTGGCTGTGTCCCCGGACCCCATCATTTATTCCTGAGTACCATTCCTGCACACAGAGCTCCTACATGTACCCTGCAGGAAAGACTTACCCAACCCCAGAGGAAGGACGCTGGGCCAGGCCAGGCATCGGGGTGGATCTGAGGGATTATAATGGACAGAGATCCCAAAATTTGACACCTAACTGTGCTAATGTTATATTTCAAAGATAAACTCTTTTAAGTCCCTTAAAACAAGAAGTTCATAATTTATTAAAGCCCTGCATTTATTTTAAAAATCTGGTCCACGTTCAAAAGAAAATTCAAGACGTGGCCAAGTTTTGACTTAAGCACTGTGAGTTAATCGCGGTAATTTGCAGAGTTAGGCACATTACATAAAATGATACTTGCTGTGTCTCGGACCAGTTTCCGCCCTGGAATAGTAGCCTTGCCTTGGCAGAAAGGTGCAAGGCGGGGGCTCGAGCAGAAATGCACGAGGTGGGAGGCTTACCCCCCCACCCAGGGCTGCTTGCTCCTCTTCGCTGCGCCCTGGAGGCCACTTAACATGGCAGCGTAGGGCCTTGGTTTCTTGTTGGTTTTGCCTGGCAGAGAGTCGACTGGCCAGCAACGGTGCCCTGAGGGTGAACGAGTACCTCCAGGTGGAGGGCTGCAGTCACATCTACGCCATTGGCGACTGTGCCGACGTGAAGGAGCCCAAGATGGCCTATCACGCGGGCCTCCATGCCAACGTCGCCGTGGCCAACATCATCCACTCCATGAAGCAGAGGCCTCTCAAGGCCTACAAGCCCGGTAAGGGAGCCCCATGTGCTTCAGTTTTAGGAGAGTTGGGGTTAGACATGGGAAGCCTTTGAGGTGACTGACTAGCACAAACTTCCTTTTTAAAAAAAAATATTTTTATTGTTTTGTTTTTTTTAAGAGAGAGAGGAAGGGAGAGGGAGAGAGAGAAAGAGCTATGTGAGAGCAAAAGATTGATCAGCTACCTCCTGTGCACCCCTAGTGGGGATCGATCCCACAACTGGGGCATGTATCCTGACCGGAAATCAAACCTGCAACCTTTAGGTGCACGGAACGGTGCCCAGTCAACTGAGCCACACCAGCCAGGGCTAGGACAAACTTTCAAAGCTGGAGACAAACACTCTCTAGTGGGGAATTAATAAATGTGGCAATTGCAGGCCCACAGAGGGTGAGCTGGATTCTAGTCGGTGCCTCTGCTCCACAGGTGCGCTGACGTTCCTCTTGGCCATGGGGCGAAATGACGGCGTGGGCCAGATCAGCGGCTTCTATGTGGGGCGGTTCATGGTTCGGCTGGCCAAGAGCCGGGACCTGTTCATCTCTACGAGCTGGAAAACCATGCGGCAGTCTCCACCCTGATGAGGAGGGTGGCAGGAGACGAGGTACCACCTTCGCCAGGTGAACGGATTGCTTGACAAGTGGTACCTGCCTGACAAATGCCAAAGGGCACTCTTTCTGGAGTAAGATGCTAGGGATGTACTCACCGGAAACACAACTTATAGAGAATCGAGAGAGAGAATTAAAAAGACACCCCTCTAGAGGATTCTTTCTGGGTTTGAAAAGGTCTGCTTGCCATGTGCTGGCCGAATGCATCACTTGGTCCTGGGAGGGCAAAGTCGGCCTTCTCTGCCCCAGGCTCCTGGCGGATGTTTGTGCATGTGCCCATGGGGTGTGGCATTCAGAGCTCTCAGAACAGGAGAGAGAGCTGGGTCTCCTGATGGCTGGCATAGTGTCCGAAGGGCAGGATGGAGGGCCTGCCACGTGGGACCAGCTAAGGAAGGAGATCTGCACCGTCTTTCCCACCGCTGCGAGGGGGGGAAGTCCACACGTCCTGCAACACTCAGGTTAATAGGAGCCTGTTTTTAAACCGTTAGTCCCTACATTCTTTAATTTTAATGAAACTTTCTATATTTCCGTTTTTAGACCCTGATCATATATCATAGGTTACATTTAAGAAGAGATAAAAATTTCCCTCTTGGTTAGTTCGTTCTAACTGGGTTTTTACAAAGCTATCAAGATCGGAACCTTGCCTGCCAGCCGCTGGAGGTGTTTAAGGAAAGGCAGCCGGGGGGGGGGGGTGTTCAGTAGATGAACCCCTGTGTGCTTCCGGGCTGCCATCAAGGGCAGATTTGTAAGTGGCAAAACTCTGATGCTGGGGACCCTTTGTGGTTTTGTGCTTCTGGTTTGTTGGCCAACCCTAATGCCACTTGTCTGGAGACTCAGCCATGTGGCAATAATGCCTGCCAGCTGCATTATAAATGACTCCTCTATTGGGAAGAGAACTTCCAACCTGGAGGAGCCTATTTTGGACCAATAAGTTGACTCTACAGCAGAAGTGGTTGATGAATTCATCTGAATAAACAGGTTCTGCCCCTGCCCACCCTGCTTACTTTTGATGGTGGCTTCTGGGTTCTTGGCCAGAGTCCTTGGCCAACAGCCTCACTGGGGTGCTCACTACAGCCCATCTGGGCTGTGGCCTGGGCCTAATGAGACATGTGCCTCTCTCCCAAAGTGTGGCTGTCCCCCCAGAGCTTCGCCCAGGGCCGCGTTCCCGCGGACCAAGACCGACTAGCCCCCACCCCTCTGGAAGCAGCCTGACGCCTGAGAAACGAAGGCCCTTTTGTGCTGTCCGACACGGCGCCTACCGTGGCGGGAGTCTCAGCCCTTAGAGACGGGCCTTACGCTATTTATAATATTCTAGACGTGTCCACACCCATGGGGACAGTTTTCTAAACAGGAAAATGTTGCAATAAAAGAATATGTTGTAAGAAAGACACTGGATCTTTTATTTTTTTTCCTTTCATTTTCTTTTTCTTTAAAAAACAAAACAAAAACAGAAAAAAGCCTGAAGCAAAACCTTTTGAGGAGTAGTTACAGATAGTATAGGGGTGGGGCAGGGGCACTAAACCAGAAGATAAAGCACCAGGGAGATGCCTTTCTAACGCTCGCCTCTCCATCACTGAGCACAGCCAGCCAGCAAAGCCCGGGCACTCGGAGGCCCTCCTCCCTTGAAAAAGGGGAAACAGAAAGCTTAAGAATTTTGAAAGGATTGCTTTTTGTGTGTGTGTGTAAAAGTCAATGCTATAAATCTAAAATGAAGTCTGTTTTTTTAAAAAGTTCTAAAACAACAGGAAGAAAACATATGGAAAGAACCCCTCGTGAAGACCTGGTTTTTAGGGCTGAGGCTCTTTTTAACGGGAATATCAAATGCAGAAGGCTCCTTCCGGGGGCGGGACTGCTCCTGCAGCCGCTGCCACCCGCTCCCTTCAGCCGCCCAGCGCTCCCCTGCATCACCCTCCTCTCTCCTTTCAAAAAAGAAAACCCGCTCCTGTGACGTGGATGCTCCTGCAGCGCCTGCTGGACGGCGCGGCCGGCGGCTACTTGGTGTCGAGCTTGGCCATCTCCTGCACGTAGATGCCGATGCTCTCGCTGTCGAAGAGCAGGAAGTAGACGTTCTTCAGTGAGGACGCGCTCGAGTCGTCAAAGTGAGCGGAGATGGCTTTGAGGGTTACCTGGGCCGCCGTCTGTTTGGGGAAGCAGTTTCTGTGCCAACGGAAAAGAAGAGCCCGTGTCACTTTGGTCCCTGGGGCCCAGGGAGTAACTCAGCCGGGGTGAGGGCAGTGTGGGCCCTTATCTTGGCACTGGGCCCTGGTTTCTACCGCACAGGTCTCACCATGTGCAGGCTGGTCCACGCGTGGTCCCCTTTGATGCTAGTCGGGGGCCACGCTGACTCAGGCACAGCAGTGGTAGCCAAGGGCACGAGGCTGGCCAGCGAGTGGTGCCCTGTGTTTGAATATGTAGCCTGACTGACTCTTGTCAAACTTGACTTTAAAAACACTACCAGTTCAGCATTTCAAATACCTGGCCTTCAAAAAAGCACATAAAGGTTTTATTAGCTCCCTCAAAACTGGTTTACATGGTAGATTGTTTATTCAAGGGCAAAAATATGTGCTCAGAAGCTTGTCTTCACAAAGCCTTTTCGTGCACGTAAGGTTCCGCTCGTCCACCCACACAGAGGTGCGAGTGTCCTCAGCAATGACTGGGCAAGGCCCCAGGCGCCGGGAAGCCATGATGGCACCGCCTGCCAGGTGGGTCACAGCACCAGCCTCCAGGGATGTGGCATCATGGTCATGTGGGCCAAGCCCCACTGGGCGGGTCCAGGGTGCGTCTGTGTAGCATGAATTCTGACTCATCTGTAGTGCCCCAGTCCAGACCATCAGGGCGAGTGGTCCCAGCTGTGCAGAGAATCCAGCCCGCAGCCTCTGAGCTGGGCTGGCCTTTGGAGACCCAGCGCCGCTTGCTTAGGTTGGGACAGGATCACAGCAGGAAGCCGGGCCTCTCACTTCCCTCTTAGCCGTCCCAGAACTCCTTTAACAGAATGTCTCCAGAGAGTGTATCATACCTACGAGGCCCGGTACCCCCGGGGCAGCAGGAGTGTGCAGGGAGAGGACAGTGGCACGGAAGGACAGACGTCCCCGTTCTTTACCCAGAATGCCGCTCTCCACACAGTTGGGGTCTGTGACAATTAGAACGACCACGTCTGCCCCCAAAAGCAAACCCTAGGTGAGAGCCTTTCATTTCTCGGGGGTGAATGTCACAGCCTCGCCTCCTGGCCCTCCTGCCGAGTAGCAGGGGAATCCCCCAGGGATTCTGAGGCAGCAGGCCTGGGTGGGTCTAGGATTCTGACCTCTGACATGGGGGTGGGGAGGGGGGGTCACTGCTGCTGGGCTGTGGACCACGCTCGGAGTAGCCAGGACTTCAAAGCCTGGTGCTTTCTGATCATGGGTCCCGGACAGGGACAGCTGGGGGAATGTGGCCTTTGAACTCTCAAAAAGGAACTTGCGCTGCCCCTCTCTGAGGGCTCTGAAGGATGGAGGCTGGGTTTCCTGCCCCACACCTGGCCGGCATGCTCGGGCAGCCTTTGGTCACGTCATCTGTGAGTAAGTGGAGAGCGCTGGTCCCCGGGGAAGGCTGGACCCAGAACCTCCCCTGCCCACCTGGACAAGCACCGCCTACCTGCCACTGGGGAAGGGTGGGAAGGCCACAGACTTGAGCTTCTTGTCCTCTGCCGCCGACAGGCAGTTTTTGATGGTCTCTTCCAGCTGCTCTTCACACTTGTCGGAGCCCCACTGAGGGATGTGACAGTGGATGACAAATTTGGCTGCAAGGCCACTGGATTGGCTGACGGCAGCTGGGACGGGAGAGAGACACTGCAGGTTACCTCCTAGCCTTCACCTTGAGCCAGGGGTGAAGCTGAACCCCACATGTACCTGTTAGGTGTGTGGGGGACGAGGAGGCGATAGAGAAGTTGACCGGCACCGTTCGGTGCTTTCGATGGGGACAGTACGTTCACAGGGTGGGAGCTTTGTCGGAGCTGCTTTGGACAGTCAGCTGATGGGACAGCACGTGACCCTCACGTGGTCTGCCACGTGATGAGATGCCTGTCCACCACGGGTCCTGATCACAGGTCTGTGTCAGGATCACCTCCGGGGGCTGTGGGAGGCTGAGGAATGGCCTCCTCAGATGTCTACACCCAACCCCTGGGACCTGGGAATGTCCCCTCACATGGCATAAGGCATGCTGCAGACGTGAGTCGGGGGGTTTGGAGATGGGGACATGATCCTCCTAAGAGGGAGGTCGGAGGTCACGGGAGATGAGGGACGATGAAGCAGAGGTGGGGGAGATGCGTCCAGGAGCCGAGGACCGCTGCAGCCCGGGCCGGAGGCGAGGCACAGCTCCTCTGAGAAACCAGCCCTGCCAGCACCTTGGTTTTAGTTTCTAAACACTGCGCTTCTGACCTCCAAACTCATGAGAATAACTGTGTTTGAAGCCACAGAATGTGTGGTAATTTGTTATAGCAGCAATAGGAAACCAATACAATGGCTTTCAGACTTTTAACAAATAAACATGTCTACCCGCCACCGCCCGAGACCTGACTCGGCAGGTCTGGCACAGGGCTTGTGCTAGTGACGTAGGACCCTCCATCACTCGAGGGCCACTGCACTTGGCTCTACACTCCCCCTGCCAGTGACTGTCTTTCTGGTCATCTCTGAGGAGCCTCAGGGAGCAGCTGTTCACACGGCTTGTGACACGTGCCCCAGGTCCATCCACATGTGCCCAACGAAACCACTCACTCTGGAAACCCACTTCCCTTCCCCTCCCTCTTTGTCCCCGGGACCCTAGCCGGTTTCCTCAGATTGTCTCATTCCAGGCCTGTCTGCTTCATTTCCACTGTCACCTCCTAGCCCGTCCCATCCAGCTTCCTGGCTGAAACCAGGATGCACCTTACAACCACTGTCAGCCTGGACTGGGCTGAGTTCTCTCAGAGAGAAGTAGCACTCGCTTCTCTCACCTGGGGACACCACCAAACCCAGGCCACGTTCCAATCCCTTCCCTGCCCAGGCTTTTGGGCTACCCTGGATTTGGCTGCAAATCTGTGGGAGTGCTGGCTTACGGTTCAGACTCTTGAGTGGGGCCTTCCTCCCCTTGGTCAACCCAATGCCAAGGTCAAGACACACACCTGCTGCCCTCTGTGCATGGGGGGCTCCTGTCTTGCTGGCTCTTAAACAGAACGTGTCCTGGCTTTATGTGGGGTCTCCTACTGGACACCCCATCTTGGAACTTTATTCTTTCTTAATGGAATATACAACAGGACATATCTTATAGGTGATGGTGTTAAAAACAATTTTTTTTCTTTATTGATTTTAGAGAGAAAGAGAGATAGAGAGAGAGACAGAAACATCAGTGAGAGAGAACACTGATTGGCCACCTCCTGCATGCCCCCCACTGGGGATTTGGCCCACAACCTGGGCATGTGCCCTGACCGAAAATTGAACTGGTGACCTCTTGGTGCATGGGTCAACGCTCAACCACTGAGCCACACCGGCCGGATTCTCTTCTTTTTTAAAAAAACATGTTTTTTTACTGATTTTATAGAGAGGGAGAGAGGGAGAGAGAGATTGAAACATTGATGTGAGAGAGAAACACCAATCAGCTGCCTGCTGCACACCTCCTACTGGGGATTGAATCTGCAACTTGGGCATGTGCCTTGACCGGGAATTGAACCAGGACCTCTCAGTCCATGGGACAATGCTCAGTCCACTGAGCCACACCAGCTGGGCTTTTTTCTTTTTAAACTTATCTTTATTGTTGAATGTATTACAGATGTCCCCCCATTTTACCCCACTGACCCCTCCTCCCCGCTCCTGACCCCTTCCTGCCTTCCCCACACTATTGTCTGTGTCCACTGGTTATGCATATATGCATGTAAGTTCTTGGTTTATCTCTTCCCTCCCCTCATCACCCCTTCTCTTTAAGGTTCATCAGTCTAACAAACAATTTGTACTTAATCCCTTCACCTTTTTCACCCATCCCCCCAAACCCCTCTCCCCACCAATCTGGCAACCAAGAAAAGTTCTCTGTATCTATGAGTCTGTTTCTGTTCTGCTTGCTCATTTTGTTTGTAGATTCAACTGTTGACAAGTATGTATTTATTACCATTTTATTGTTCATATTTTTGTTCTTAAGGAAGACCTGTCAACATTCCAAATAACTGGTTTGGTGGTAATGAACTCCTTTAGCTTTTTCTTGTCTGGGAAACTCTATATGGTCACTAATTCTAAATGATAGCTCTGCAGGATAGAGTAGTCTTGGTTGTAGGTCCTTCCTTTTCATCACTTTAAATATTTCTTGCCACTCCCTTCTGGCCTGCAAAGTTTCTTTTGAGAAATCAGCTGACAGTCTTATGGGAGCTCCGTTGTAGGTAACTAATTGCTTTTTTCTTGCTGCTTTTAAGATTCTCTCTTTGTCTTTAACCTTTTGCATTTTGATGATGTGTCTTGATGTGGACCTCTTTGGGATCATCTTGTTTGGACCTCTCTGTGCTTCTTGGACTTGTATGTCTGTTTCCTTCACCAAATTAGGGTAGTTTTCTGTCATTATTTTTTCAGTAAGTTTTCGATTTCTTGCTCTTTTTCTTCTCCTTCTGGCACCCCCATGATGCGAATGTTGCTATGCTTGAAGTTGTCCCACAGGCTCTTTACACTGTCCTCATTTTTTTCTTTTTGCTGTTCTGATTGGGTGTGTTGCTTCCTTATATTCCAAATAGATGGTTTGCTTCTTGGCTTCACTTACTCTACTATTGATTCTCTGTAAATTATTTTTTAATTTCAATTAGTGCATCCTTCATTTCTGACTGGTCCTTTTATATGCTCTTGAAGTCCTCACTAAGTTCCTTGAAGTTCTCATGAAGTTCTTTGAAATTCTCATTAAGTTCCTTGAGCATCCTTATAACCAGTGTTTTGAACTCTGCATCTGTTAGATTGCTTATCTCCATTTTGTTTAGTTCTTTTCCTGGAGTTTTGTTCTATTCTTTCATTTGGACATGTTTCTTCGTCTCCTCATTTTGGCTGCCTCCCTGTGTTTGTTTCTATGTATTAGGTAGAGTTGCTATGTCTCCTAGGCTTCCTAGGGTATCCTATTGTAGTAGGTGTCCTGTAGGGTCCAGTGGCACAACCTTCCTGGTCTCTCAGCTGGGTCCTCGAGGTACACCCCTCGTGTGGACTGTACACCCTTCTGTTGTAATTGAGTCTTGATTGCTGTTGGCACATCAATTGGAGGGATTTACTCAAGCTGATCAGCCTGTAAGGGCTGACTGTGCCCACTATCCACCAACCTCTGACTACCTTGGAGGATTAGCTGTGCAGGGGCCCACCACACAGAGCAAGACTTACTTCATCAGGACTCTGGTACCCACTGAGTCCATTCTTTGAGTGTGTCACTTGTGGAGGTGGTTGAGTGGCAGTGCTTCAATGTGGTCTGAAGCTCTCCACTGGGTGTGCTGACTCTGGGGCAAGGTCGCCACTGCCTGTGTACTACCTGGGGCCACCCAGAATAAGCTACAAAGCTGTATGATGATGGCTGCTGCTTCTGCTGGACTTGGAGATGACCAGGCAAGGCAAGCTTTGAACCAAGGCTGGCTGCTCCTAGTGCCGGGCCTGGGGCCAGTTAGCTAGAGATATAGGGCTTGCTGAGGCCAGATGCTGCTTGTTTGAGAGAATTTAGGAAAACCTGAAACAGGATCCAAGACAGGCCAATCCTATGGTAAAGCCACTAGAAACAGCTTGGGTGGGCCTGAAAGTTGGGTGGGGCAGGACCTCAGGGAATCACCAGGGCGGGGCAAACAATGTGAACCAGGTTGGTGGAGTCTCAGATATGGCTGTGTCAGCCGGCCTCATGGAGGGAGGGCTCACCAAAGGAACAGTAGCCTCCGCCGGCACCTCTGTCTGGGAGAAAGCTACCTCTCCACCTCTTGCCCCAATGCCAAACTACTCAGTTCTTCCTCGTATGTCTCTGATGTCTTTCAAGCTTGCCACCCGCCCCACCCTGACCCCCTTGCTGGAGCCCGGAGGGAGCAAGTCTGAGTAAGTCCATGTGCAGGACTTAAGAGGAGCTGCCTGGGGCTCCAGCGGCCTCAGCCTCCCTGAGCCTCAGTTCCCGCTGGATTTTCCAGCCAGAAGTGATGGGGACTTCTCTTCCTGGCCCTGGAACCCTGAGCTGGGTGCCTGGTGTAGGACAAAGACCCTTTGCTTCTTGGGGAGGACTTTCACAGCCAAGGTGTCCCTCCTGATTTTTATTTGACACACGTGGGTGTGGAACCAGCCGGTCCTCATCTCTGCTCCTCTTATCAGTCTTGACGTGCCTCTTCTTTAATTCTGTAGTTGTAGGACTTCCACTCAGCTCGATTTCAGGCAGTTCTGGATGATGGTTGTTCTGTAGTTTAGTTGTAATTTTGATGTGGTTGTTGGTGGAGGTGATACCGCGTTTACCTACGCTGCCATCTTGACCAGAAGTCCTCTGAAGACACTTCGTTCCCATCTCCAAGCATCCTTTGTTGCTGAGAGAAGCCACTGTCAGGACTGTCTACAAACCATGTGCCTTTCCTCTTGGGCTGCTTTTCAGGTTTCTCTTGAGTTTTGAACTTCTGAAGTGTCACCACATCGTTCATTGCCTATACTCAATATTTTCAACTTGCGGGCTCATGGGTGTCATTCTGGAAATTTCTCAGCCATGACCTTTTCACATAGTGCTTCTCTCCCTCCTACTTTCCACCTGCGGACCTCTGGAAGCGTGTTGGGGCCTCTCATTCTATGCAGAGCAGCTATCTTCTCCTTCCCACTCTGACAGGCAGTTTGCTGGGTGCCTCCCCCGCTCCCCCGCCCAGATCCATCCAGTCTTTCGTGGCGGATTCAGGGCTCTGTCTCATGACCGTGTAGGGGTGTGGCAGGTCCAGACATTGAGCCCATGGGCAGTGTGGCCTGGACGAGGGGCTCCCTGCTCCCACTGGCTACCCTAAAAAACAGATTTCGCACAAGCCACAGCCCTGGGTGGTGGTCAGGGTGAAAGGCCACGGGAGTTTTACCAGCCCTTGCTTTCAGCACTGAGTCTGGCTTTGGTTCCCTCCAAGGGTGAGGTGACTCCAGTCTCATTACCAGGTGAGAGTCAACCTCCTGATGGTGCATATTTCCAGACCTGGGCCCAGCACCCACAGCTTAGACCTTCCCCGGCTGCAGCGCACGCAGCTCTGCCCTCCCTGCCCGCACATGCCCTTGTCTTACATCTCAGTGTGGCTCTCTCTTTTATTTTAATTTTAAAATAAAATAAAAATTATAGCATTGCTATATGTATGGGAAATGGTATGTGCAGACTGTGAAGTGTGGACTCACGTGCTCTCTTGACTTTCCAACAATCTAGTCTGATCGTGACAGTCCCTGCTTCAACTTTCAAAGGCGCCCCTCTCGTCTATACAGGGTCTCCTTCTACCTGCTGCTCCCCGTTAGCTTATGACCCGAGCCTTCTCACACACAACGCCCTTACGGCCACGACGCCCCTGCCCTCATGTGGCTCTTGTACCCTCATGGAAACTGCCCCCGCCCAAGCAGGGGATGAGCTCTGCAGTTCTGTTCCCACCTCTCTGTGCCCCACTACTGTGGCTGTCTTTCCTCCTAGGCTAGCCAGTGCTTGAGGGCAGGAGAGGGATTTACCATCTTAGAGCCCTAGCATCAGGGCAACACCTGCACTGACTGCATGGTCACTGGGTGGTGCGGGTGGGGACACAGATCTGAAGTTGGACCAGCCCATCAAAAAAGTACCCAATTGTCTCAAAAACAGGCATTCAAACAAAAACGTGTGCACAAATGTTTATAGTAGCTCTATTCACAATAGCTAAAGGTAGAACAACCCAAGTGAGGAATGGATCAACAAAATGGAATATTATTCAGCCATAAAAAAGGAACGAAGTTCTGATACGTGCTACAACATGATGAACCTCAAAGAAGCTGTTATGTGAAAGAAGTCGGACACAAAAGGTCACACATTGTGTGACTCCATTTACAGGACATGTCCAGAACAGGCAAATCCATAGGGACAGGCAGATTGGTGGTTGTCAGGGGCTGAGGGAGGAGGACGAATACTTAAAATAAAGTTACCCAGTAGCTCCAGACCACTTTGGGTGACCTGATCCAAACTGACTTGAACTCTCCAGATACTTTATAGCCCCCAAAGCACATGACTCGATCTACATGGGGCAGCTCAAACTAAAACACAGCTTTCTGATTAGCTATGGCCTATTTTGCTTTGCAAATGAGTATGTGAGAAGCATGTGATGCTGGGGAGGGAGGGAGGTGGTGGGTTGTGCTGGGAATAGGGCCAGCTCCACACTTACCTTCAGCGACCTCCAAAGGGCCTTGGGATTTGCGGAGCTCCTTCACGGTTTCCAAGAACTCTTTCCCCCCAGCCTTTTCCAAGGCCTTACCTGTGGCGGAGAACAAGGGGAAGCCGCTGTGGTTGTTCTCTTCAATGTCATTAATTACTGTTGGATATACTTTTACTAGGCCAGAAAAAATAAACAAACCAACCATATGCAGAAAGTCGGAATAAAAGTTTGCAACTGAAATCCTGGTTTATCAGTGGTCACCGCTGGCATGGGGTCTCTAGCTTCGGTCCATCGGGGGTTAGATTCTAACAAACTACTAAAGGGCCTTTTTAGGGGGTGATTTGCCCATAAGTGTCTCATGATACGAATCCTAAAGATGGGCCATGCTGGGGCACCTCTACCAAAGTCTGAGGACCTTACCTATATCTTCCTTGAGGTCGATTTCGGCTGTGGTTGGGTGGACAATGCCCTCCACTCTCATGGAGCCAATGTGGCTGATGTCACTCTGGGTCAGGGACAGCTGCATTAGGAAGAAAAGATGGAGAGGGTGGGAAAGATTAAATCCTATTAATATCTTCATATTTTACATCATATCTGTTCATTCTATTATTTTTTTATTTTTTATTGATTTTAGAGAGAGGAAGGGAGAGGGAGAGGGAGAGAGAATCATCGATGAGAGAGAACATCAACTGGCCGCCTCCTGCATCCCCTGACTGGGGATTGGGCCCACAACCTGGGCATGTGCTGGTGACTGGGAATCGAACTGGCGACCTGTTGATGCGTGGGTCGACGCTCAACCCCTGAGCCACACGGGCCGGGCCATTCTCCCGATTATTAATGCTGAATGTCAACACAAAGGGCTGTGCATGGAGCAACTGTCTCGTTTTCCCAGGGGTTCTGATTTCAATAGGTTCTTTTGGACTCAGTGGATTTGATGTTTGCTCTGTGGTTAGCAGCATGCCACCAATCCCCTTCTCGTTCCCTACAGCCTGTGCCTGCGTTTCCCCATCCTGGCGGCCTTGCTGTGCGGTGACATATTCTCTGGGTAGTTCTTGCAAGGGAAGCCCGGGCTTGCTCTCTCCTCTGCCCTCCATTTGCTGCATTCTTCCCAGAGCAGCACAAGCCTTTGGGTCAGGGATGCAAAGCTGATGACCTTGCTTGAGAGAAACGAAGGGCTCCAGGACCCTGACCCGACTGTCTGGCTCCCTTGCCTTTAGGGGACCCCATTCTGGGGGCTACACTTGTGAAATGCTGCCCTCTGTGCTCACAGCTTAGTGGAGTGGAGGCATTATCCATCGTCTCCCCACGTGGGCAAGAACTTTACGTTCCCCTAGAGAAGTGAGAGAAAGCTAATCGTCACGTAACTATGGACGGCCCCTAGTGGGCACATAAATTCCACCTCTTTGCTTCCGCGCTCCCATCAGTGATGAGTTAGGAACCTGCCACATTCACACTCTTCCTATACAGCTCCAATAGAGGCTCACGCCGTACGACCGTAAGCCTGCAAACATTCAGCTACCAGAGCTGTGATTAACTGTTTCCCTGTGGGTCTTATTTCAGCCCCATTTGACTTGATAGATAAATTGTCTATGTGGTAAACTTTTATGCTGTGGGAATGAATTATTTGCATGTCTGGCTGGGCTGCTTGCTGGCGGAGACCGTTCAAATGTCTAGCCCTGTTGGTTTCTTCCTGCAGCTGAGAAAGGCAGGCAGATTAAATTATTGGCAAATAATTTATTTCTAACACCCGGGGTTTTCAGGAAACATATTTCTATTTTCCGTCTTTGATAAATTACATTGAGCTATGTAAGGTGGACTTCCCAAAGCCTGTTCGAGAAGTTAGAGATGAGTTTTGGTGAACATGGGAATAACGGGCATGGGGCATTTCCAGCCAAACCAGTAACACCATCCTATCCACTGACCAGAAGGATTCTCCGTTTTTATCTTTGGCTGACCAACATCAGCATGAACACTGCTCAGCACTGAAGAGCTTGTTTGTTCTTGAGTTTAAAAATGAATAATTCAAGACCAGGGTGAAAGTCAGATTAGGGGTGGAGGAGGCATCATTGCTTGTAAACAGTAGGTTATAAAAATGCAATCATGGCCCTGGCCGGGTGGCTCAGTTGGTTGGAGTGTTATCCTGTACACCAAAAGGTTTCGGGTTTGATTCCCGGTCAGAGCCTATACCTAGGTTGTGGGCTTGATCCCTGGTCAGAGAGAGTATGGGAAGCAATCGATTGATGTTTCTCTCTTGCTTTCTCTCTCTCTAAAAATCAATAAACATACCCTCGGGTGAGGATTGAAAAAATGCAATCATGTTTTACTACAGCACAGTATAATTCTTTTGATTACCTTCTGTCCTAGAACAAGGCTCTTGGAAGACAAGATGGTGAATCCATCCCCTGGCCCATCTTCAGAGGTGGAATTTGAAGTTCCTTCTTTATCGCTGTCTTTTGGTTTGGACTGTGGGTAGAAATCAGAGGAACAGATGGGAAATCATTCAGAAGAAGCCCAAAATGACTCAGTAAAGCTCTTCTGGCCACCACCAATGCAGATATGAAAGGGGGTGGTTAGGCGTCACATTCTGCTGTTCTCGATGGAGGGAAGCAGGGACAGCAATATAAGGGGACGAAAAGGTGCTGCCAAATATGGTGTGTTTGTTACAGGGTCCCATGCGCCTGCAGTCCTCACTCAAACCGGGACACATGTATATTATCACTCTTTTCAACGCCTGCCGCTTATGATGACAATAATCAGAACAAGGGGGGTCGTTCTCGAACATTGCTCAGCCCTCCTTGTGCCCGGGATTTCCCTGGGGCACTGTGGCGGTGCAGTGAGCTCTCATATAACCTCTGTGTCCTGGAGGTCTGTGGAGTGAAACCAACAGCCTCTAAAGCTGCGCTGTCCAACAGAAGGTCCCGTGGTCATGCACATGTCCTGCGTTTGTGCTGCTCCGTACGACTGAGCACGCAGCTGGTGTAATTAAGGAAAGAATTTAAAATTTTATTTAGTTTTAATTAAGTTAAATTCTAATTGAAATAGCACATGTGGATAGTGGTAACTGTGCTGGGCAGCATATGAAAGTATTAACTGCAAATGGCATCTCTGAGCTATAGCTACTTAGCACATCAGGTTTTCCGAAACACCTGAAATCCCCTTGGCTAGACTTAGGCGACTATCCAGGGGAGAGCAGAGATATTTTCGTGTGCGATATGGAGCACTGGGGAAATGAAAAGCAGAGGTCCAGGCTATCAGCTCTCACGTAAGATCTTCGTGGGGGCGACAGAAGGGATCTGAAAACATGAAGACCACCCACACTTTGGGTTTGGATAACCCTAGTGGACCCCACCTGATGATGTGAGCTCATTCTTGTCATTTTCTCCTAGCACCAAGCTGTGGAGAGGTCCCAGCACTTTGGAGATGTGGCTTCACCTTCATCTTTTGATCGTTCAACTCTCCTCCTGTTCTGAGTCCCTGGCTCACAGAGGTAACCTGGCTCACCTTTTTGGATGTCCGTGGTTTCGCAGCCTTGGATTTCTTGCCCCCTTTCTTGCCTGACGTGGCCTTCCTTCCTCTCTTCTCTGGGGGAGGGGAGAGGATAGTTTCTGACTTGCCTTTGGTCCCTCGCTTTTTGGCCAGCAGTTCGGGGTGAATTCTGGGTAGGACACCTCCACTGGCAATGGTCACTCCTTTTAGCAGCTGAAGAGGGAAACACATCAGACAGCCAAGAGCTTGCTGACTCTGGATTTTATGCAGTTCTAACTGTTGTCAAAACAAGGTCTAAATCTGGTCTTTGCTTTCCCCCCCAAATTGTGTAAATACACAGTCTAACTGGCTTTCCCTGATTCGCCTGCAGAGCGTCTCCGCAGGTATCAAGGCCTCCTGTGATCTTGCACAGAAAGCAAAACAAAGCAAAATGAAAGGGTGTAGAGGTCGAAACCAGCGATGCTGCCCAGGGCTCTGGAATTCCAGACATAACAGAGGATAAAGAGCTTCACAAATGGGGCGTGCAGCTTGACAAAATGGGGTTCAAAGGTCACTGCTGGGGCTAGGCCCCGTTCCCAGCAGACCAGTGGTCTCCGCACTCCTTTGATCATGCAGTCCATCAACACACTGTCTGAGCGGGCACCTCCCACCTGATACCTGTTTACTTTAGCTAATGGGGGGGACCACTCCACGGATACACCTGCGCATCCTAACGCAGCGCTGCTCCGTGTGCACTGCGGCCAGGGCCGGTGCACAAGCCATAGTCACATGTCTGTGACAAAGTACAGAAATCACGAGGAAGAGTCTAGAAATGTTATAGTAAATGGACAGAGTTATATATCTATTGGATTTAATAACAACAACAACAAAATGGTGGCTTGTAGCTTGTATATTTTTTCTAGTAATTATTTTTTATTGTATATTTGGAAATTAACAGTCCATGATGGATTGGAAATAAGAATCATTTCACCACAGACAGTCTGAGAAAATTGGAATAGAAGATAAATACAAATAAAAATTTCTTGTGCCATCAACCTTTTACCTCCTTGGGGGTGGGGGGCAGGGGACATTCCCTTCACTTTGGAGTCAGTTCTAACAGATCAAAGGTCAGTTCTAATATGAGGAGAAGGGCTCTCTTGCCCTCATCAGAATACATCATCAACAAAGTCTGGGAGAAGAAACCGTGAAGGGAAAAACGTACGTGCCCTGTACCTTCCGCAGCAACACACTGAGCTGCTTTTAAAGAGGAAAAGCAGGTCTGGCCAGACCCAGAACACAGAACAGGAGCTAATCCAGAGGCAACTTGACTTTGAAGCTGAATGACAAGGCTAGCAGACTTGGTTCTTCTCTTACATGATCTACATTTTTTTTGTAAATGTGACTGGCAACTGTAGCAGGAATGATTGGCAGCCAGCCTCGTCCACAGGCAGTAGTGTGTTTGTAGACCCGTTTCGTGGCATGTGTCCATGCTGCGGACGTACCTGATTGAGCTCCTCATCATTGGCAACTGCCAGCAGGATGTGTCTTGGGGCTATCCGGGCCTTCTTGTTGTCCCTCGCCGCATTCCCAGCCAATTCTAGAATTTCCGCTGAAATTACAAGGGAAGTTGATAGGCAATCACAGAATGGGGTCTGACCTTTCTAAACCTTTTCTTTGGGAATGGTCTTTGAGTTTGAACACATTTATTCATTTGTGATTTTTATGTCTGGGCCTGGAAAGAAATCCAGAAAGCTGAAAAGAATCAGGTCATAATAAGTACAGTAAACCCTCGATTTTGCAGACCTTGATTTAATGGACAAAATTTCTGGTCCATGTCATCTGTGAAAATTAACACCCTGTTAATTTTAAAATGCTTTTAACCAAGATTTGCTTATAATTAAATCAACAGGTTATTTATGGTTATTAATTCACTGTCACTTTAAACAAATTTTAGCGAATAGGCCACATGTTGAAAAAAACACTAGTAATTTCACTGACATAAATATTATACATCTACAACTATGGTCTGCATATTTAAATCCAAGGGTCACTGCTCATAAACAGTGTTCTTGAATGAACAGCTCGTGATCACACCACATCACTCGAGGTAACTGGTTCTGTCCTCTCGTGGCGTGATTTTCTGCAGCAGTTTTGCTGGCTGATATTCCCACGCTGGCTAAGCCCTGTCCCAGACGTGTACATTTGTTTACTCTTGGTGACTAGTGAATGCACCCATTTACTAGACCTATTAAGTATAAATGTAAAATTACTGTAATACATATAGAAAACTTTTCTGTGAAACTAAACTTTTCATATATACTTAATTTTAATTACACAAATGTGTCTACATAAGTAAAAACAGGTACACTAATTTGTCAATTTTTTAATATACGCATTCGTAAAACCTACTTTATTATATAATGAACTTTAGGCTTTAATGGACACCCCCTCACCCGAATTAGTCCATTATATTGAGGTTTTACTGTAAAATATTTTAGCAAGACCTGATATATGAACCTATAATAAAGTCTTCTAGTTGTCCCTTGTCATTAATTCTTCCCCATCCTCCTTAGTGTATGGACCTCTGATTTTCCTGCCGAGTCCATATCCTAGGAAGGATGAAGACAGTTTTTCCCAACCTCCCTTGTTGAGAAGTGTGGTCATGTGACTAAGTTCTGGCTAATGAAAGGCAAGCAGTCGAGTTGTATGATCCTCCTTCCTTGTCTACTGGTGGACTGAGGGCATGATGGCTGAAATGTGAGCAGCCGCCTTTGAGAGAAAGAAGTGGATGATAGCGTAACCAGACACAAGGAACTGCGGTATCTTATGACTGGAGCTTCCTTACCAACCTGGACTGTGCTCTGTAGACTTCTTTTGTATGAGAGAGAAATAAATTCTTGTTTAAGCCACTGTTGGCAGAAGTTAATCCTGACCAAAACAAAACCCTAAGGGAAGACTCGAGCTCTTTCAGCCTACAGACAGCAGGGCCATCGCTGAAGAGCACAGTGATGTAGGTAGGGTCTGTCTTTGGTACCCATTAGGACTCTATTCAGAATCTCTTCTTCTTCATTTGATGCCCAAGATCCCTCTTGTCTTAAAGGAAAATGGATGGGAAGAACTGACTTATACTATGGGATGAGGAAATGTTAACCCGAGAAGTGAATTCCTAGTGGGGATACCTATGAGACGTGTGAAGCAGGTATGTTGGGGCGCCAGGGTTTTCCACATACCCCTCAGAACCTAAGCATGGCTCTGAGTTTAACAACTATGTCATTTTGGCAAATATGAAAGAACTGATAGAAAGGAATTTTCCTAAAACTACTTCACATGCTACCAAATTTCTGAGTCAAATAAAAAAAAAATCTATATAATTGTTTTATACCATCTATATTCTTTCTCCTATTTAATTTTCCTTCTTCTTCAATGTTAGAAGGATATTCTGCTAAATCAAACTTATCTGCCTTCAAAAGTAGGAACAAGCCTATAAAGGAAAATTCCTTCCCTAAGAAAGCTAGAGGCAATGTGCCAGTGAGTTGTTTCACTAATACAGGGGGGAAAAAGAGTATATGTGTGCATGTGTGCAAAATCTGTGTGATGTGTTTTCATAGGCGCGCGCGTGTGTGTGTGTGTGTGTGCTGAGGCTTTGCTGGTATCACGGCATAAATGTTAAACCCTAAAATTAACAGGTGATTCTGTATGTCTTGACAATCAACCTAATTCCAAATAAAATAGCACATGAAATTGCCATCATTTATAAAATCTATGGCAATAAAATAAACATTTGGCATAAGTATGCCATATTAACTAAGCAAATGTAATTAACACAAAATTAGAATAAAATAAGCATTAGCGTTAAATATTTATATGGCATTTCCATAATGAAAAGTGCTACATCACTGCAGATTCATTTCATAACATCTTTTCCAGGTTATTAAGCAATGAATATTGTGTTTACCAACAATGCATTTATACAGGGGTCATGTTTTCTGAACCAAAGATTGGGGGGCACTATCGTTTGAGAAGTAGAAGCATCTTTGTTGCCATGTTGGAAAATCTGATTTGCTGCATTCAGACTACTGCCCAACCCTTTCTTTATCTTAAAAAGTGTACCCATCAAAAAGAAACGTAGTTATAAAGCTTTCCTAATAGGCTTATGTACGACTCTAGGTTGAAATGTGCAGCTTCCCACTGTGTGTGACAGAAGGAGTTTCCTACACTTGCTCATCTCAGGGGCCCCACGCCTGGGAGGAAGGCGCACGCCATCACCCTTTTTTCTAGATGGGTGCAGGGGCCAAGGAGCCTCCCAGCTTTAAGCTTCTAAGCAATCAGATTAAATTTAGCATCTTGGACCATCACTCCCCTGCCTCTGTCACCTGCATTTAGAGGAAGAAGTTAAGCTTCCTCCTAAGTTCATTAACAGCCGTCAGTCAGCATGAGAAGCAGGGCTAACGGGAAGCCCTCCATGCTTGGAGCCCTGGAGGTCAGGCTGTTTTCAGCTGGACAGACAGATGCACAGACATGAGAGTCACAGGTGGACAGTCTGCCGGAACCAAGGGCAGCACAGGAGGTAAAGGCTGCGGTTCAGCGGGCAGCGCGAAGCAGGCGTCAGCGAGGCTCGCGTGCGGCTCCGCTCCCGGACCAGCCCTTCCGAAATCACTTAGAAGGGGGACCTTGGTCATGTGCTCTAGTGCAACAGCAGAGGTAGAGCGTTTCTGTTTTTATTCAAAGAGAACACTTCTTAATGATACACAGCAGAACATCTAGACCGAGGAGTTCTTTCCTCTGTTTCGTCTGGCCATTCCTTGGGACAGAGATGTCACCATCTCAATGTTTGAAATAACATTAATCACTATTAATACCTTCAAATGCTGTTCTGACAAATGCATTCATGTGAACTATAAAATAAGCCTTAGAGTTACATATTTATATGGCATTTCCGTAATGAAAAGTGCTACATCACTGCGAATTTACTCTACATCTTTCCCATGTTCCAGTTGCTACATTCTTGAGTGATTTTATCGATCTCAGGAAACCAATTACCCTTCTATTGGCAATCAGTGGGAAAACTGGATTTATAAGCACACATTTGTTTCCCTGGAAATTCTGTGGGAAGATCATTATTCCGTTAAGTGGTGGAGACTTCTATGAAGTGTACAGACTTCCTTAGCAAACCTCTCACTTCTTAGAAGTCTCACTTCCAGCAACAGTAACCATCTGGAATGCAGCTGAGTATCTGGTAGTAAAAGAAGAAAAAAAAAATTCTGTAGCCAAAGGGATGTTGGAGAGCTTACCAGGCACATTATATCGGAAGAGCCTGTGTCCTCATCTCTTACGCAAATTGAACCAACACCGGAGACCCCAGCCCCAGCAGATGGGAAACACCATGTTAAGTGGAGGGCTGGAACAGAGGGCATGGAGTGGCCGCTCCTTCAAGACGTCTCCTTCCCCGGCCCCCCTGGCTTGTACACTTGCCCACTAGGCGACAGTGCTCAGTCTTTTGGGGGAAGCCCATCCATTCATGGCTCCAGCTTCCACCTACCTGCCATGTGGTCAGATCTGCACCTCCAGCTCTGCTGTGATGTCACCTGGGACTCCCCACCTGGGTGTTCCCCAGGTAAATCAAACACCCCAAATCCAAATCACCCCTTCCCAAACCTGCTCCTCCCATCGGCCTTAGGACTGGCAGCTCCATCCACACACAGACCTGGGAGTCATTCTCTCCTCCTCCTTCCCGCCTCCTCCCTCTCCTTCCCTCCTCTCAGCCTCATCAATCTCACACCCCTTTGCTCCTCTTCTCCACGCTTGTAGCTGTTATCTGAGCTAAGGCTCTCTTCTCTTCCAACCCAGAAACTGCAGTGGCTGTCTAAATGGTTTCCCTGTCCCCTGTCTTGTCCTCCTCCGGATCCATGCCAACAAGGCCACTGCTAGGCCAGAGATGCCCCTTTCTCAAGACATTTGACTTCCCTGATTTCACTAGAACAAGACCCTGTACTGCCATCTGCTGGAAATGCTCACAATAAACATCCAGTTCTTTGCAGTACACAATGCGAATGGTACTCCCTCCCTTAAATGTGTGTCCTTGTGCAGTGTATACAACCTACCCAACCACACACGTGGTCCTGGCTGCCAACGGGGTCTTCTCAAAGCACAAATAAAAATCATCATATAAAAAAATGCTTGGTGTTAAACAGATAGACCCAACTGTCTGGAAATGATATGTAAATAATGGGTTTCTATGTTACACAATGATTTCATGAGGTGCCCTGGAATTCAACCCTGTTTTAAGACCTATTTGTCCTCTCAATTAAAAAAATATCTTGCAAGACATTTTCTCACCATAAAAATGGTAAAGTATTCATTCTCAATCGTCTCGTATTTACGCTATATCTATTGCTGATGAATTCAAAACCCTTTCCCAGAACGTGGGGCTTGCCTTTCCGTCCACTCTCCCTCACCTGCATTGGAGGTGGGAGCTGGGCTGCACACTCGGGTGTCCCCGTGTTTTGGCTACTGTGCTAATGCTGTAGGGAATGTGTGTGGAAGCGCCTGTTTTGGTCTCTGATTTAAATTCTGTTGGGGCATATTCCAAGGAGTGGAATTGCTGGGTCA